ACAGACAAAGAAGAAATTGCAGGGACTCGAGATCATAACAGACAAAATGACTGTTTGAGTTCAGCTGACTTTGATTTTGTTAAAAGCTTTCATCAAATGCAGGGTAAGAATGATATTAAACAGACAGACCTGATTCATCTAAGCAATCTCCCGTGGCAACTCCCGAAAAACAACCACTGTAGAAGGGGAAACGGAAAAAGAAAGCATCAACCTTCCAATTTATATGCAGAATGCAACACATCCAACCTGTATCCGGTGGCAAACAATATGATCATTCTCTACGAACTAAGGCTTTCTTCTGTATCTTCCTCGACATCCAAGCTTGTAATACTTGGATGCATTGAGATCCACTCGAAGAAACCACACAATTTTGCCATCCCCAAAATCTGATCTTCCTTCTTTGAAATTTCCCGACGAATGTTGTTCTTACCTGATAAGATCAAAAGGTCACAAATAGAGTAATTATTATGAATTTTTTTTTTCAGGAAAAAGAAATTAAATTGACCTACAGCAAAAGATGATTTGTGTAAGACCTTGCAGAACTACGTTAAATGGATTCAACAATGATATGCAGATGAGAAAGTGTATATATGATAAATATAAATTAGGGAAAGAAACCACATACCTTGATCTTTAACAGGAAGTTTTGAAGTTTCGTCTTCACTATCAATGGCAGGAGAATCACCATTTAGCCCTCCCAGAGCCAATATTCTCTGACCTGGAGAAAACCAATCCCAGGGCAGCCATTGCAGAAGCATAGTTAGATCTCTTCAAGTATAATCTTATTATCTGACGCCATATAGGCGGTAATTGAGCTAGGACATGGTACTTCAAACGTCTTATCTGCATCAACAAAAGGAAGAACAAATTCAATCCTGTTAATAAGAGATTATACAAAATCCAAAGAGAACAATGGTGAACCACTTAAAAAAAATCTAATCCAAAACTTCACTTCCGAGGAAAACAAAATTTTCTAGTGAGCAAAATAGAATCAACACAGGGCATGGATACTCCGTACAAAAAGGGCAAAGCCCAACGATATCAAAATAATTCGTACAAAAAGGGCATGGATACTCCTCTCTGATATCATCATCTGCAACATCAATTTCCTTGAAACCCATCAGCATTTCTGCATCGAAACCATCCCATTTTGTTCCACCTATTAACATCATCACCACCACAAACTCAAGAAATTTAAACCCATCAAATTCCAATCTTTAAGCTACCACAGATCACAAATTTATACACAAACTCAAAAACCAACGGAAACACGAAAAACAAAACGAAAAACAAAATATTTCCGTGGTTAAACCTGCAGGGGAGGCTTACCAGATCAAGATTGAAGAGCAGATTTTTAACTCCTGAAAGCAGGCTCAGATATGCAAAATCAGATCAGCCAAGAGATGCGGAGACCCGCATTGGATGAAAAACCTGGTTGCATTAAGAGTGCCATCCAGTTTGCCGAGCCAAAATACGGGTCAAATTGACACTTCAATGACTGATCTACCAGTTCCAAGACCCATGAACATCATCACAACCTTTCCAATATTCTTATTTATTTTTTATTTTTCTTCAAATCGACCATAGGAGGGGGAAGGAAACAGTGAAAAGAGTTAAATGGGTCAAATAAGATAGCCAACTGAGAGCTCTGTTCATTTGGAGGACTTACGAGAGGTGATACCTGCAGGAAATGTGTTTGGTAAAAGAGGAATGAAAGCAGATGTTATTTGTAGATGTTGTGGACAGACGGAGGAAACCAAGAACATATATTTTTCTCTTGTAGAGCTGCTCAATTGGTCTGGAAATTGGCACCGGTACATTGGAATGGTCTACAGCAGCAAACACAATCTTTCTCTGACTGGTGGGATGAAATTTGCAAAGATGATAAATATCATAAGTACTAGATAAGGCTCCGACTTCTCAGTTCAAGCATTAATCAGATTCTTGGAAATAAAGGAGTTAAGCAAGAAATGGTTAGTCATATGTTCAATTTAACTATAGTTATTGTTCCAAAATCTATTCGATTGGTTTCTGTGGAATCATTTGGTTACTGGTCCTTGTTGTACACTACTAGGATAAATGGAAGATTCGGGTTCAACTCATGAAGCCGGTCACTTGGCCTCCATTCGTGTGGGGTGTGGTCTGTGGAGCTGCAGCTTCTGGTATTACACCTTATGCCTAACGCTTCATCTTGTAGGATTTTCGATTTGATGTTGCTTTTCCTTAATCTTTAATATACTGTGATTTTCTTCCAGTAGTTTGTCTGCTTTGTGGAGCCAGGAAATTTTACTGCATTCTGGTTCCTGATATATGATTATGCATGTTCAGGGATGTACCGGCAACAAATGGTACACCAGGTGAGAATCAAGGGAATGATTAGTGAAGTTTAAGAGGCCTTTTGTTGCAGTGATTCATGGTTTTGTACTGTGTTATAGTATATAATTAGGTGTTGTTTTGACGTATTCCTATGAAGTCTTGACAAGTTTAGAAATTCAGTTTTCTATATGGGTTTTACAAATTCTGTATAAAGGTTATCTTTTCATGGTAGATTTTTGAGCTCCCAGATATGATGAATTTTTTAGGTTATAAATGTTTGAAATTTATGGGTGGATTGAGTTGGAGATGAGCTCTGTGACTTTGTTTTTGGTAAGAGTTTTTATCTTGTATCACTATTTTAATTCGAGTTGATTAGCCCTCTTTGTCATGAGGTGGAATTGTTACTTAATTGAGGTTTTGTGCACTTCTAAATCCAAATTTGTGTCCTGGTTAGTGGTGAAACAATTTTGTGTGGGTGGGACTTAAAATATATGCATTTGATACTAAATTTGCATGCATTTATGATTTAAAGGATACCCAATTGATTATACCGTAGCGACCATGTTGTTTCTTATTTTCATAATTTCCCATTTTTGTTTGGTTCCCCTTATGGTTACACAAGCTGCTTATTTTATGTTGGTTGGCATCTTGTGTTTTTTTGCACCGGATGTAGTACTGATCTGGAAATATATATTTTGACACAGGTCACAGGGAACTTGGGGAAGTTGGGGTCAAGGTTATGACCTATTTATACAATGATGGTATCATCCACCCGTATTGTTCAGATTTATTGCACTTTTTATAAGCCAAGAGTTTTGCATCTTGGAGCACTAGATCCTCAAACTTGCAAAATTTCAAATCTATTTGTGTAATATATTACCGGAGTTGAGGAGTGGTTTCATCCGTGCCTGAGTCCATGTTGCATCTATAATATTGGTCAGAAAGTTCATATTCATATCGACCACTGGTTCAGTTGTTGGTCTCAGATGGATGATAGTGTGCATCGTGAGAACGGACGTCACAAAGTACCTCAGGGTCAGGTAGCTTATGTCACTTAAGTTGATCATTTGGATGAATCAATGATGTTACTTGTGTTCGTCTTTTAATTTGTGACAAAGATAGATGTTTTGTCCTTGAAGTATTGTCATTTCATTTTCCCTTCATTGTGTATAGGGATGAGTAACTATCTCATTTTTCAGTGGTTGATGCCGCAACATCAGCCATCAATGAAGCAGATAATGGCCATTATGACTGAAAGAGATGCTACTATCCAAGAGAGAAATTTGGCTCTTTTAGAAATGAAGTCTGCCTTGGCAGAGCGTGACATGGTTATTATGCAGAGGGATTCATCAATTGCTGAAAGAAATAACGCAACTTTGGAGCGGGATAATGTCATTGCTACACTACAATATAGGGAAAACTCGATGAAACCATGCCCACCAAGGTGCTAAATTGCACGTGGTGTGAAGCACATGCACCATCCTTAGCAGCACATCCACCATCAGCCCCATATGAGTGAAACTCCATATGGAACTAAGGATATACCCATTAGTGATGCCATTCCGATGACTCTCTGGAGCCTGCAAAGTCTAGGAAGGAAAAACGATAAACGGATCCAAAGGATGTAACATCACCTAAGAAGGCGCGTCAAAGTCATCAAAGAAGGTTAAAAAGGATGGTGAAGACCTGAACAAAACCATGTTTGGTAAGTCGCACAATTGGAAGTCCAGGCGGAAATGGGTCTCTGCAGTATAATCTAAAGTGCCTAAAAGTGTGTACTACATTCCTTTCCTTTGTTAAATATATCATTTTTTCTTTGGTTTGTTAGATGAATTGATCTTGCAAATCAAAAATTAAATTATACAAATTGAATAAAGGATTATGACTATTTATCATTTTAATGACCAATTTTAGATTATACTAATTTCTTAAGTCTTTATGGTTCTAAAATCAAACTATTAATTTGGGATAGATTTAGTACTCAAACATCATTAGTTATATAAATAACATCAATCGGACTCAGAAGAAAAATTAAGAAGCCCGTGATTACACGGGTTGTATCTAGTGAACGACACTATTCCACTTGAATAAGGGTGGGTCAGCTTGCCACAATACACCACTAAATGATGACAACTGGACATCACTAATTCCATCTGGATTTAACAAAAATTCAGAAAAAACCACAAATTGACACATTGAAATTTCATCTGGATTAAACAAAAATTCAAAAAAACCACAAATTGACACATTAGAATTCCATCTAGATTAAACAAAAATTCAAAAAAACACAAATTGACACATTGGATTTGGAGGGAAACAAATGCATCAAGATACAACACGTGGACAGGAGGGGGAAAAATGGGCAGGAAGAGCTGCTCAAGAGCCGGCTCTTTTAGTAGTTTGAATGAGATTTCACCATTTAAAGTTGATTGGGCATAGTGATGATGCATTGTCATCCCCATCAATATCTTATAAGATTCTTTGTGTATCTTTATTCTTCACAAATATTATTACTATTATTATACTCTCTCCGTCCTATAATTATTATCTATTTTGCCCAAAAAATTTTGTCCTAAAATTATTGTCTAATTTGACCTTTTATGGATCAAGTTACACATTTGTCTTTAGTAAAAACATTATCCATAAAATCTTAGTGGTTAAACAATTACTTATGTAAGAGTATATCCAGTTGTTTAAGGTAAAATATAGTTAAGTTTGACCAAAAATAAAATCTTTTATTTTAGTAAAATTGGACAATAATTATGGAACGGAGGGAGTAGTAAAGTACAACGGGAAGGTGGCATCGCCGGACCAAACATCTAGTTGGTTTTGAAGTCAAATCATATTTGGACTTTCAAGATATCCAATACCAAAATAATATTCCGGAAACCCAAATTTCAAGCAATCTAGAGGCCAAAAAAGAGTACCCCAGAGTTCAACTTCTAAACTATAACGAAAGTCTAACTTGGCAGCAAAACCTATAATCCACTCTCCATTACTTGTTCTGAGAACTTCTGGTATTTTTATGGCTTGAATTTTATAAGCAGCAGAGAATACTTTGAGGTTGTCCTTGAGCACAATCAAACACCATTTGTCTACCATTAAGTAAGTTAACTCTAAAATCCTCCCCAGTAAAGCAGCATTCAATATTAACATCAACAGATAATTAATCTATATCCATATACAGGTCATTCAAATCATTTAAAGCCACACCAGTAACTTTTAAATTCTCATTCGGAACAACCTCAACACCTTTCATCAGCTCATCATCAATAAAAATTTCATATGATTCATGCACCATACTCTCAGTATCACTATAATGACCATCCAAAGTTACAGAACCACCATCCAATTCATCACTACTCTGAAAGTTGGAGAAATAATCTTGTTCATAATCGACTGGGGCATACTCTTCTAATTCAGACGCCATTTCTTGAATTGAAAAATCCTTATTCTTGGATTCCAGACCCAGTTGTGCCTCAAACCTCGCATTTTCATCAGTCAGGTCTTGAGTCTCGTTGTTCCCGGATTGGAGCGCTGCCGCTTGTTCCAAGTTAGAATCGCCGGCCTCCCAAATACTAACCACCACTTTCGGCCTGAAGACTTCACTGAATCGAAGCTCCAATCGATCCGCGAATTCCTTTCGCATCAGGACGTGTGGAATTAAAAGAGAAAATTCGCTCAATCCACTGGCGGACGTTTTTGCCTGTAAAAGGAAATTCCGTCCGGCGAGGGTTCCGGAAAGTTGAACTTCGTCGGATTAGATGGAAGGGTAAAGCTAATAAGGTATTCAACCTAGAAATGTCGATGTCTCTGAATTCCATTTCGAATTGACAGAAAGTTAAATAGTTTTAAATCAAAGAACAGAAAATGAATTGGTGCGGTCGGAGCATGAAGAACACACACAGATTTCAGAAGAGGAGGAGAAGAATTAGAATTCATAGTTCAGAAGGTTAGAACAAAAGGGAAAGAAGAAAACGAACGGAATCGGTGAATCGATATAGAGACGGCCGAGGAAGGACCGCTCTGATGCCAAATGTCACGCTCCGGGGGCCATGGGAGATGGCCAGAATACATAAAAGGAGTAAGTGGACTGAGACAGGTGAAATTAGAGTTCCGATGTGGGGAGAAGGAAGAAGAAGGGGGATAAATTGGAAATTCTAATTTAATACTGAAATATCTGATAATCTTTTTACAGACCCAATCCACTATTTATAATCTAGCTATTTTCTAAAATGACGCTTTGGTCTTTCTGCTTTCTATTACGTAAAATCTAATCCATAAATAATTCAGGACGTGACAGTCTCTTAACAGCCCAAAAGAATTTCGAAACCTATGGGCTGGACTTGACAAAAATTATCCGCACTGAAAGCCCAAATTAAGGCAACGATTCGGATTTTTCCTAAACCCTACAACCCGATTTTTTTCCCAGGTGGACTCGATTTCGAAGCTACTCTTCCGTCGCATAATCAATAGAAAGAAGAAGAAAGAGCGGAATTGAGCAAAACATGGCTTCCGCGAATCTTAAGCAGAACATCGTCACTGCACTGTGTAAACATTTCTCTGTGGACTTGGTTAGTTCTTAATTGATTCTTTTTGCTCGAATTTTATTTGAGGATTACATTGAATTTTTTGCTGTTATTGAAAAATCCAAAGCTAGTGATTCACATTAAGTAATTATATTCATTTTGGATGTTCTGGGCGTTGTTCAGTTGCTGTTAGTGGTGATTGATTATTCAGCTGTGAATTCTAAATGCAGAATGGCTACCTGCGCGATGTAGATAGTGATCTTATAAGCTTATGTACCAAGATTTTGAAGTCATCAGCGAATGCTGTTGCTCTTCTGTGCAATGATGCTGAGGTAGTTGTTGAATATTTCTGTCATCATCGAAATTCATGTACTTGCACTGACATATAGTTGTCTACGAGCATGTTAACTCACCTGATTATGGAATGTTAAAAACTTTGGTGACAGTTGACAAAGTGGATTTCATTCGTGGAAAGTGTTACTGCCGATTCCGCTAAGTTTCTCAGTGACTTGAATGAAGAGTTGATCAAGAAGTCTGTTCTACTTGGCAACGGGTTTAAGCCTTCTGCAGCTGATATTATTGTCTTCCCAGCTGTGCATTCAGTTGTGGTATTGGTTCTATATCTTAACGCCAAACAGCTGTTGTTTTTCGTGTTTTATATTTTGGTGGGGAGAGGGGAATTGAATTGTGGGGAAAGCTACTAGTAGTTCATAGATTTACAACTTGAATACCAGTTTGATTCCTTCTTTCTAACTTCTTGTAGGTTGGTTTACCTAATACCAATAGACTGAAATTGCCACATCTTATGCGATGGATGGATTACATCCAGGTAAGCCAACATTCGATGTTTCCTACCAATGGTATCTCCAACCTCCATGCATTGACTTTAAGTTTTGTGACTTTGATACCTCTAATTACATCTAAAGCCCTTCCTCGAGAAGTAAAGAAGATTCAGATAAAGATAAATCATAATAATACTTATTCTATCTGTCTCAATGTGAGGTTGAAATGCATGCTAATTTGCTACTTGGTAGCGAATCTGCATTCATCCTTAAACTGATATTCTATTTACCTGGCCTTAGAGTTGGGGTAAGTGTATTTGATAGAATTGAGAGAAACTCATTAACTGAAGCTCACCAAATTATCATTTAAAATTTGAGCAAGTTTTTGAATTCTAGACTATGGATTGAATGGAGTGCCTTGACCTTCGCAATAATTCTGATCCTTATTTTTCTATTGCTGCAGAACAAAGTAGAATTCGGGAATTCATTTGAAACAATTTTGCTTGAGAAGGTCCCATTTGAGCCTCCGGTGAGCATTCTGCTGTAGCTCTATCCTGTAATTATGCGCAGGAACTGAGTTATGACTCTGTAGTTGTGTCCAAAGCTTCCTTTGCAAGTAGTCTCTGCCAATTTTATGATTGATTTTGAAATTAAGTCTGTGAGGCTGGGTGTTTTCTGGGAATATATTGATGCTGGAGTCTGTGTCAGAATTCCTTTACTATATACTTCGCTGGTCTCTTTTGAAGGAGAGACAGAAGTATACTCACACAAATAAGAAACATCATAGTCTTTCATCGACGTTTCAGGTGGTAAAAAATGTAAAAAAGGTTGAACCAGAGCCAACTGCAAAGAAAACGGTGCAAGAAACCAAAGATGCCGCTACTGCCAAAGCAGAGTCAAAAGCGGTGAAACCTGTTGAAAAGGTGTGCCTCTCATACATTTAATCTCTTCAAGCTGGATTAAAATGTGCTTGATGTTATCTTTTTGGCGGATGGTGTTATTGGAATGCCGTTTTTGCTTTTGTGATTTTTCTGAAGTAAGTTTACTTCTACAAACAATGAGTTAACTGGGGCCAATTTTTATTTTCTTTTGGTTTGGGGAGGGGGTGGGGTTTGGGTTCGGACAGTTTCTAACATCAAAACGTTGTAATTGTTATTCGGGACCTATTTCAGGTGCAAGGAACTAGTTACTTTGGGTGATGTTATGTGTTTTCATGGAATGTACAGGCAGACACCCTCATGTTAGTGTGATATATTCCTGAAGCCATGGACCTTTTGTCGAAGCTAATAGATTTCCAGGAACTAATGTTTCGATCAGAAAATACAGTTTCAGTGACAACTGATAAAAATTTGTTGATCTACATATTGGTGAAGTGAGTTTTCTCTCACTGGATGTTTTTTTGTGCTTATAATTTGAAGAAGGAAGTCGCAACTGGAAACCAAGCTGCTATAGAGAAGAAAAAATCGACCGAGAAGGAAACACCTGGAAAAGATAGTGAAGTTTCTGTTAGTTTGCTGAAGATACAGATTGGTCTTGTTCGTAAAGCATCTCAACATCCATCAGCAGACAGGTAGATTTCCAGTTAACATTGTCGGTGTCTCCTGCAAATTTAAGCTTATTGAATTTTTTTTTTTCTTTATTTCTTTCTGTTATGCAGCTTACTAGTTGAGGAAATAGATGTTGGAGAGGGTAAAAATCGGCAGGTGGTTAGTGGTCTTGCAAAACATATCAGTCCAGAGCAATTGACGGTATCATTCAATGCGTATGCATCTGGATTTGTTTATATTAGCTGAGGTTTTCTTTTCAAATTTATTAATTCGCGTGAAATTTTTTTTGGGCTCTTTCTTTTTAACTTGCAGAATCGTTATGTTGTACTGATAACAAATGTAAAACCATCGAAGCTGCGAGATGTCATGTCTGAGGGACTGGTACATCTCCACCCTTTTTCTCCTTCTTTATATATTTTGGTATTTTATACTTCCTCTCTGATATGGCTTGAGGGATGAACCGACAAAACATTAAACACATTATGGAATTTTGAGACAAGCTTTTATGTTGGCGATCTGAAATTTTATTTTGTTTAGAAATCAACCAAATTAATAACTAGTAGAAGTAAGACTCTGTGCAATCTAATGGAGTTCTGAAGGAAGAATGCTCAAGTTCTTTGCATATTTAACATTTTCAACTTCCATTTCTGTTATCAAATGTGGAAGAAAAAAGAGTTTGGTCTTTGTTCATGGGTGTGAACCCTGCTTATAAACATCTTTGACAAGGAAAGCATTTTTGAGGGAGCTTTCCCTTAGGTGGGAATTCACTTTTGTTAATTATTTGAGAGGATTTTTTGGAGAAAGTCAAGATTTAAAATTTGAATTTTATCGCTTGATGTTACATTTTTCTTTTGAACTTTTCTTCTTGGGGGAGTTTCTAACATCTGGATTCTTAATTTTACTCTTCATCAGTGCCTAGCTTCCTTGTATTTCTTATGCAATCACATATCTTTTCAGGTGTTATGTGCTTCTAATCAAGATCATTCAGTTGTAGAGCCGCTCATAGTTCCTGAAGGGGCAAAAGTTGGAGAATGTGTTACATTTTTGGGGTATGTGTCACGTCAAACTCACCATGAACTATAAACAAATCACTATGAATTTCTCTTGTTCTTTAGAGAAGTAATGCACACTAAATATCTTTGGCTTTCCTATTACCTCCAGCTATTTTGTTTGTTTGATTCAGAGAATTATATTTGAATGATTGTGTATGTTAGCTTCTCACAATGATGTTGCTTCTATATTAGTTGGGAATCTAAACGTGGTAATGTTTTTCCTATAAATGCACCTTTCCATAAAAAACAATGAGTTTTGGTAAATTAAAATTATACTGGATTTTAATTGCTATGAAAAGATTCAAAACCACATGAATTCCTTGGGAATCATCTGCGTTTAATACCCATATTCATGTCCAGATCTGTAAATTGTTTACTTGAGGTGTATGCTAATTTTTCGCTTTCATTGTGACATTTTACACATAATTTCAGTGAAAGCTGCTGTTATCAGCCATAGGTTTCTGTCGGTTTCCCTTTTCCTTAGGAGGGGACTCGATTATCCTCAGCGATAGTTGTCCGCTTCTGAGACTTTGTTGTAGAAAATATGTAGTCTTCTCAGTATACTTAAATCATAATTATTGGCATTCACATCTCAAATGTTACTATGCAGATTCGAGGGAAAACCAGAAGACGTTTTAAACCCAAAAAAGAAACAACTGGATAAGATAACTCCGGTAAGTACTTTTTTATTCATGAGCTAATTTATGGGTTAAAACTTAAAAGAGCACCACTGCTATTATTCAAGCACTTAGGCCTTGTATCTTCCCTCATCTTTGGGATAATTGAGCTTGAGCAATAGAAAGATTCTGTCATTATGGGTGTCTATTTTGTTTCTTTCTCTTTTTTTTTTTTTCCCTGATTGAAAATGGAGATGAGAGTTTAGCTTGCTATTGTTTTACTCATTCGCTTTGAGCAATTGGCACTTGACACTATCGCACTCGATTATTAATATTAGCTATTCTGATTTAGTTACACTTCTGCACGCAATCTCAAATTTGTGGTGATGGATTAGGATGAACCTCGCTTTAAGGGAGTCAACTATTAGATGTGTTTAAATTGCTCACTTCTTACTGTAATGATGTTATCTTCCATTGAATCAAATATTACTTTGGATGCAGCATCTTTCAACGGACAGCAGTGGCATTGCCACATATAAAGGGGTTCCGTTTATGACTTCCGCTGGCCCATGCAAGTCATCAATTCCGAATGGTAGCGTCAAGTGATGGGCCGGTTATGTACCTTCCACCAGAATTCAATGCACAGTTAACAACCTTTCTTTTGGGCAATGAGGCAACCTTTATATTTTTCTACCATGTTTCCAACTTGAAATCCTAGGGGTAAAAAGTTGGTTTGTTGTCATATGCAAAATGGATTTTATTGTAGATGTAATTCTGTGCACCGAAAACTCTGTTTCTTCTCTTAGATGTTGAAATTTGAAGACAACGGCAAGAGAAATGCTGTTTCTATAAGAGGTCGCCGCCAATGAATGAACATGCATCTTGCAACAGCCCGTGTGTTAAAGTTAAAATCATTTTTTCGTGTTCTGTGTGTTATAATGATTTCATCAAACCAGAGTCTGGTTCAAATGAAAAATTAAGGAAAATAAATTCAAACATCATCCAGATATTATTGCATCAGATGGATAATATCATAACCTTTCTGATAGCCCTGTTTATTACAGAGAATTAGAAATGAAAATACCAGAAAAAGGAAACCGAAGAATTGCATTTCAACTAACTACTTCAATAGGTTCAAAGCCCTTGTCGATAGACGCCTTGACTGCATCCACAATCAGTTGCGTTTTCCTACTATAGACTGGCCATTTCGTATCTGGCTCGGAGCCTTCAGTTTTAATACTGTTGACCAACCTAGAAAACTCCTCCACCATTAGAGCTTCCTGAGTAAGATCTGTCGATACATCATGTTCGCTCGTCCGAGGCATCCACCCAAGCAGACGCTTAGCCCACCATGACTTTGCAGCTTTAACGAATGAAGCCTTGTTCTCAGCAACAGGGACAACAAAATCATCAAGGCGCAAAGTGCCATTGGTTCCGGTTGCAGTGAAATCCATCGTCATGTTTGCTTGAAACGAGCATACGAAAGTGGCCACTTTGCCATCCTCCCAGTACAGAGAAGCTCCACAGGAAAGGAGGACGCCTGATCCGTTGATGGATGGGTTGCGCGACGCGATTACAGTATTTGGCAGCTCATAATCAACAGCCCACAAGATTGCTCTTATGCAGTACCACCCAAGATCGCCTAAGGCACCAAGAGCATCTAAATCTGGCTTCACCCGAATGTCATTCTCTATGAAATGAGGGGGCGCATCAAACGTAAAGGTACTGTACATCTGCAAAGATAAGCAAGCGAACAATCATCGCTTTTAGGTAGCTTTGTTTGAAACACTCTCAATTCTGTGTTTTTCCTTATTTACTCATCAAGCTTGATACTTCACTTGGGGTGGGTGAATACTACGTCAAAATTCTAAATTGGCTTATTAACAAATCTATAATCTAACATGAGTATCCTGATTTAAAGAGGTAAGAACGTGTAATTATATTACAGAACATGTAAATGTGACAAGAATTTGATACGATAATTCGAATTGACACCAACAGATTTAGTTTCAAGTCAAGTAATAATAATAATATAACAAACTCATTTTCAAATTATTTATAAGAAGTGGTAAATAGAAGTCAACAACACCGTATCATTTCATCAAACGGGAAAGAAACAAAAATTACCGATTTGAGTTGGCCAAAGTTTTCGGGGTCATCAAGGAATTGTTTCATCTGAGGAGTACGAGGATGATGCATCCACATTGTAGCATCCATAAACTGGACACCATTAGATTTGCAAGCCTCCAGTATAACATCCAGGTCCTCGACACTGAGGGCCACAGGCTTCTCCAAAAGGATGTGTTTCTTCTTCTGGGCTGCCAAAACAGCCCACTTTAGGTGTAAGCTGGTAGGCAGAGGGACATAAACAGCGTAAACTTCCGGGTCGTCCAGAACCGCTTCGTAGCTGCCGTAGATTTTTGTTGTTTCAGGAAAGTCGTTGTCTTTGGCAAACGTCGTTGCTTTTTCCAATGAACGGCTGCCGACGGCGTAGAGGGTCGACAGTGGGGACATTTTTATGGCCCGGGAAACTTTCTGGGCTATGGAGGCACAACCGATGATGCCAAACTTGATGGGTTCTCCGGCGGCCATGGTTTGTTAATGAAGTGCTTGCGAAAATGTGTGGGAGAGTGTGAAGGATTTTGCTCCGGGCAGCTGATACTAACTTTGGAGTTTGAACGTAGTACAAATGCATTGGTGGGTATCTTTTTGAATGTATAAACAATTCAGCGGAGTGCAGCATTATTATTATTGATTACTAGTATTATTTGTGGGTTCAAGACGTTGGATTGGATTGATTACCTCAACAAAACAAAACAAAAACAAAACTGTCAGACTTCCATCTTCTCCAACATCAATTAAGTGTATTATAAAAATCATTTATAAATAATGTAAATGGCGAGTCAGAATCCATAATCACTAAAACCAGTACTAAAACAAGTGATCGAGCAGTGAACTTTTCACAAATTGTATTTGGTGAAAATGAGGAGAGACTGTTTAGATATTTTCATATTTTGTGATGCCGCCGCCCGAGGGCTGAAGGATCAGAGGTCGGTAGGCAGTTCCAGTAATAACAAATATATATGCACCGATTAAAGCATAATAAAAATATAAATGTAGTAGTACTAGTTTTGAGAGAGAAAAAAATCCCCGTGCAATTTTTTTTTCCCCCGCTATATAGCATACACTCAACAACGTGTGGATGGTGTATTTGTCTTTTTATTTATGACTATAAATTTTCAATGTAGTTCGTCACTGGATGTATCATTACTGCTAAAAGAAAACATCTCCACTGACGTAAAATGAAAACGGTTGGCCAACGCCATATCATTTTGCAATAGCGAATCCATCTCAATCTAATTCAAGTATTTGTTGTAACGAATTGATAGTATTTCATTTAGCCCACATACTAAGAATTAGATATACTAGTTAACAAAAAAAAAAAAGAGGGACGAGTGCGATGATAACTGATTGGAAACTTTTTAGTTGACTTTTTGGATCCAATGAAGAGAAATATTCATGTTGGGCGATTTCTAAAGGGTTACGGAATGGTCAATCAATTACCTCCTTCAGTTTGACTAAGTTTTTGAGATAGTTGTGAAGTCGGCTGGATACACGGTCCCTGGTAAGAGTTGACCCCAAATTTACCCGCCGACGGTCAGCGAGCTGCAATTTGATTCTCGAGGAGGTCGTAATTGTAATTCGCAACTAATCCCTCCGTTTTAAAATGTAAGTCACTTTAGACTTTGCACGTATACTAAGGACACAATTATGTAACAATTAATTTATGTATTAAATATCTATTTTACCCCTCATTAATTACATTATAACTATAAACAAGACTAAATGAAAATAGGTTGACATCATTTATTGAGGATAAATTTGAAAAAATAATAATTAATTTGTCTAAAATTCGTAAAAAAACTTACATTTTGAAAAATTTCTTCAAACCTAAAACGACCTACAAATTAAAATGGAGGGAGTAAAACTTAATAGTATTTCTATTTTCTCGGAAAAAGGGGGAAAAAAAACTGCAATACTATTGCATAACAAATCACGAAGACTTTGGAAAGTATCGACCATTGCAATTCTCAAATCAATGACGATGAGTGTGCATACAACAACAAAAAAAGAATCCAAGATCAATCAAGCATACCGAGTACAAAGTTGTTCTTCTTATTAGAAAAGATTGTAGCTCTCTCTAAAGCAATGAATGAATTTGCAGAGGCAGAGTAGAGAGAGGACCAATATTTTATTATAATTAATCGGGGTCAATAAAAATGCCGGTGATGATGATGGTGGTGTCTGGAATCATCCCATCCAAAGCACTGCAACACCGGATAACAAGCTACAAACGTGCATCTCTTAATCGCTCTCAACACCGCAGAAACTACCAAACAGGGGCAGCAACAACATCCCAGCATTGGATCATCATACGGCCCATGGCTTTCCGTTCTATGGTGGTGGTGGTGGTGGTGGTGGTGGTGATGGCCCATTAATTCTGCAATTAAACGAGTTGAAATTCTTCAGGGCCACCGAGGGTAAAAGAAAAGCAATACCCAAATCCAATATGATAAAATTCTTGACAAAAACAGAACAAAACGGACCCAGAAGCCTCCAAAAGTACAACATGTGGCAAACAAATTAAGTTGACGGAGGATATATACCATACCTTGTGATGAATTTTAGTGCCTTCCGCCCGTTCAGCTGTTAATCCCCAGGAAGAATTATGCGGTACCACCGCAAAAAAAAAAAAAAAAAAGAGTCTTAAGACAAAGAGTAATGAATACTAGTATTAGAAAGTGTAATTGCAAGAGAAGTGAGGTTGTAATGGTTTTGGGAAAACATAATGGAACAAGGAATATTCGTGCGTATATGAAGTTGATAATAAAAGAGCGCCTCCTAAAACAATTGAAGATATGCTGGCTTGATTAGCCAGTAGCTACGTCTACGTGAAGAAGAAGAAGGAGAAGAAGGGGGCCGACCAAATTGCATTTAAGTGATTGAGATTAAAAGCGCGTTTCACTTCGCGGTTGCTGCAAGTTATTGGTAGGCGTGGCTAATGATGAGTCTAGTTATTATTATTATTATTAATGGATTATTAATCCATGTTTATAAGTAGAGTATACTTACATTATTATATTGCGTGTTGGATTAGGATATTGTAAGGTGATAATGATATCGTTATTTTGTCGTCGTTTTAGCTGGCCTGCCCTTTTTGATTTTGTGATGAATTTTTGTACTAGTACTAGTAATACTTCTTGGTTGACCAGCTGGCTCATTCAAGACAGAGTCCTACTAAGTACTAAAGTGACTACGAGGCGACCCGCGTGGCATCCTGAATTTAATTTGGCCCAATCGAATATCCTGGAAAATAAGCAATCATATGTGCACAATTCATCGACATGGCGTAACGGCAAAAGATCTCCTATATTATGATTATCTTTAGAGCAGTTTAATTACATTTACTTGAATAGTTGAATAAGTAAACTCAAATTTATGTCGCGTTACTTTTATTTAATTTAGATTACAAGTAAGTGCAAAGCATATTATCTCACATTCTACAATGGTGATACATATAATGAATGAATAAGCCACACATTTTTTTTTTTACATTACTTATCACCGATGTGAATGCTTTTAGTTTTCAGTACATTAGAATCTTATGTGGACTATTTTTCACTCATCATTTTTCATGTTCATTAACACATACAACATAATGTACAAGAATCAAGAAAAAAAGAAGAAGGAGAAATGAATAACAAACTCATTATGATTGAACTTTGCTGGAACAAGAACTTTTGATGTCTTCCTTAAAGGAGACTAAACCCTACACAATTCATCATTTGTAGTTGTAGTTCACAATGTCGGTGAAAAAAACTTTAAGAGGAGTTCGCACCAACCGTCCGTTTGATATGCTTAGGGTTAAACTAGTTTCCGGCCGGTTCATGATGCTATCCTTTAAGATTTCTAAATTTGAGGACCAAGTCATCGTAATCTGGAAGCTTAGGATGAACATGGCTTGGAGTTTTTGGGATAGCTTCCGGAGATTTTTCACCTTGCAGATGCTCTTCTTGCCTGTGATCATCATCATATGCATTCACCTTATAAGTTGTTTTAGTAACCTTTTCATTCCGACCAGCTACAAAATCTTTTTCCTTCTTTTCTTGGACAATCGCCGTTTTCTTAGCTCCTTTTATGGCAGCAAAACTTGCAATACCATCTGCACTCGCCACACCATAATAAGGAGAATCACTCAAACGGGCTCCGGGATTTTGCTTCACCTCTTTCCAAATTTCACTTATAATTTCATTGGTCACATTTTCTGATACTGTCTTAATAATGTCGAGATTCCGTACAATTCCAGAGTTCACTTTGTTTCCAGGCAGTAGATCGACGTTAATCCTCTCAAATTTTTGTCCGAAGATTCTTTGAAAAAATAATCTCAGAATTTGTAGCTCCGGGATGACGCCACCTTGTCTTGAAGCAGCAAATATCAAACTTGAAACTGCTTCACACACCTCATTAGACAATTTCCTGCAACCATACCTCGTGTCATTGAGTATAGTTACATATAGGGATCTCAAACGTTTCATTCAAAAAAAAAATAATGATAACCTTAGTAAATTAATACTAATATACTACGAAATAACATACTTAAAATAATTTTTTTCTCGATATGAAATTTTATCGATAATATCATATATATACATGTAATGGGAAATAACGAGATACCCTAAAATAAATTCTTCTTAAAAAATATAGTACCTGCAACCGGTAACTTCATCAATGTTTTTGAGGACACAAGCACAAAACAGTTCGAGCTGATCGTAACCTAATAAGATCCGTTCCACCCCATGAATTTGTTGTGCCCAAAAAGTTAACTAATGACAAGTTAGGAAGAAGATCAATAAAATAAGGTAAATATAAGAAAATAAAAAATAGAGGGAAAAAAAAACAGAAGGAAATTAAAATTGAGAGGTGTAATAGAGATATCACTCTCTACTAACCCTTTCAAAACCAGATTGACTAGGGGCGTTTTCAAGGAGTTGAGCAATGTTCATACGAAACTGCTTCATGTTGGAAGTATTTTTTCTCTTTTGAATTATTAAACGATCCTGTAGTGACTTGATTATCATTTTGCTGTAGCAAAGAGAGTAGAACAACATTAGATCCAATCTAATTGAAGAATAACATTCGATAAAATGAGTTCATAACTACATTACTCAATTCATTATATATACCATCCACTACATTATTCATTTATTTTGGGATGAATGTGTATATAGTAAAAATTAGGAACCACGTTGAATTATGAGCCAAAGTTTCAGGCACGTATGAATGATTAGATAGACAAAAAGGGAAAAACACTGAGTTTTACTGGCCAATAGTAAATAAGGTCTTGCCAATTGTAAATAACTTATAAAGTTGAAAATAAAAGGACAAGTTTCCTTCATCATAATGAAAATGAACATTGCCAGCATACAAATCAAACAACTGTATACGTATTTATATATGCTCCCAGAATGAAAACATTTATTCTTAGCAGATTTCGCTAGTATAAAATCAAATTATTGCTTCCAACATTTTTAATAATAATAATAATAACTCATCCCATAAAAAAAAAACTCATGTTACTGTATTATATTTTGCGACTTTTTAACTTCTTTCCGCGTTAATATCTTTATTAGTAGACCCTAGGGCAAAATCAAATAAAAGAACCCCATTCTATTTCTTTATTTTTTTCTGATAGCCCATTGGTCTAGTGACTATATATATTTCTCTTGTGTATTTGTAAAGGTATTATATATTTTGTAAGTAATTAACAATATTGGCCTATTGGGGATGAACTACCTTTTAAATTGCAGGAAGAAAAAAATAAGTTTAAGCTGGTATAAAACTAACATTCATAACTCAGTTGGACCTCGACCTCTAGAATTGGTCCTGTGCAGGTGCCCCCTTCCAGAATACACCATAAGCAGCAAGGCAAAGTATAGTTCTACAGCAAACATAATATGAAGCAAAGTCGCCAAACTTCATTCCGTGTAACATACAATATTCATTTTTATTTTTTTTCAGAGAACAGAAAGGGAAAAAAGAAAACTATGTGTTGAACTATTTTAGTTTAGTTTAAACGGATACAAGTAGCATTAACCCAAAAAGGACAAAGTGAATACAAATTTTATTCAGTTTAAAACAAGCCTAATTGTTAGAATAGAATGTGTACACAACTAGTACAAAAAAAAAAAAAAAAAAAAAAAAAAAGAAAACCATCCACATACATACGTTATTCAAGGATTACATGAGCATGGGACGATGCTTTCAACTACTACATGATATTGATAATAAAAAAAATAATCATAGAAAATTATACTCGTAAGCAGTATCACCAGTAAAGAGAATCTATTTCTTTTCCAATACCCTAATAGAGAGGTGTTGGGACATCCATCAAAAAAGAGATATATATGAATTGTGAGATAGATGTTTTAATACAACAAACAAAAGAGACAAGTGATTTACCACTTAGAAGCTCGCCTCCATCTTAGGCACTTGATATAGAGAAAAGAAATCCTCCGCAGCGCCGCCATTAATATTACTACTACTATATCGTCGTCTTCTTCTTCCTCCAACTAGAAAATCACAGCGATAAATAATCACTCTATTTATTTATTTACAACTCGTGGCAACTATTTATACGATTTCCAGTGTACGGATATTTATCAGTTTACAATCTTCTGACCGTATATTTACCATAGCCAACTGATCTCCAATATTCCATTTCCAATTTTTTCCACAGTGGCTACAATTTTAGGCCAAAATAATGTATTGAAGGGGAAATGTTCATCACTAAAAACACGGAATTTCCCTCCCCTAATTAAATTTATGGAAAAGAAAAAAAAAGTTAATATCTTGAATCACTACTCTTTTTAAAGCTTTGAGAAATTCAATTAATCCCTCAGAAAAATAATTTGCCAAACTATTGGATATCTGTTCCCTAAGGTGAAGAAATACAATCAGAAGATACGTATACAAGTATTATTTTTGTACTCTTTTTTCCTTTCAACAATTCGAGAAAAAAAAAATATTTGAAAAAAATGAAATAGGCCGGTGGAATTTGAAGGCCCATATAGATTGGAACTGGTGGGCTTATCGGGTTATTCGAATTTGGTGGGCTCCGTCCATTTTTCTTTCTTTTTTCTCCCCCCTTTTTTTACTTTTATAAGAAATAGTAGTGAAAGAATAGTGGTCTGTGGCCACACGTGGAAAATCCAAAACAGTTATTGTGGCGGCACAAAACTTGTGGCCTCACCGAAACGTACAAATATTGAAGCATAAGGTGCCATTTTGCTCCGACGAAAACCGCCATTGCTTCTTCTGCTGCTTTGAAGAAGCCTAACTGAAAATGGCTCTCCGATTAGAGCCGCCGCCGTGCTCTTCGTCTCCATCAATCTTCCCTTCCGTTAGAGCAAGCAATAACGGCGTGAAGCTATATTCTAATCCGCCTCCGACTGGGGCAAGTTTAACATTAGTGCCGCCGAAGTTTCCGCTGAATCATCGTTATATCCGTCGCTCTCATCCTGATGCTGCCGTTGTTTCTGCCACCACCTCTATTATTGGTAGTGTGGATGGTGAGAATGCAGAACCTCCGCCGCCGCCGCGTGATGGTAATAGCCCTAGCATTTCAGCTGAAGTCTCTTCCATCAACGCCAACTCTAAGGACAGTCGTAAAGTGGTTCGAGTGGCTTGGGAGAAGCTGTTGCGATGGTCTCGGTCGTGGCGCTCCAAAGCCAAGACAGACGTTCTTGAGCGCACCAGCAAGGTTTGCTTCTCTTCTTGTTCTTTCTACTCTCATAGTCTCATTATTATGCTCTGTTTCATCCAGAATGGAATTATGGAAGTTTAATTACTCATTCAGAACTCGCTATCTTTCATTTGAGCCTTTATTAAATGCAAGTTAATTTGTGTCTTGTTTGGTTGAATTATTAGTTCCTAAGTACATCCACCAGTCTTCCATAAAGTTCCCTATGGTTCAATTAACTTTGAGATTGGGGTTCTTGCAGATGGAAATACATTAGAGAATTGGGAGGGAGAGTAATATAAGCTTCATTAGTGCATTGCAAGGAAACAAATTATGATCTCTGAAATCTACACTTTACATTCTTTAAATTGTTTTCCGAAAAAAATGAGCCTCTCGAATTTCTCAGTTATCTAATTTTATATTCTTTGGGATTACTATGAGGAACCAATGATGACATCAAAGCCCACAAGTAATTATGATTTTGCACGTTTTTAATTCTTTTACCAAGCTCAATGTGAATTCGTAATACTGCAGGATGTTAGCAAGATTCTGTATACAAATTTCACATGGTTATGCTGATGAGGGGCTTGGTGTTGGTTTCTGGAATATGTTGTACTATTTTTTGATTACAGTGTTTTAATTTTTGGTGAATTATGTGGAATTGTTGCTAAAAACCTAAGTATTCTGCACTACCTATCAGAGTAGGTCTGAAGCAGTAGGAATGTCGCAACATCATTTGTTTTTTTGAAGTCTTGGCCTGTTGTTTATAAATTTTAAGCCCTTTTTGCGAGCATAATTTGTTAAGAAGTTGCTAAGAATAAGTAAAAACAAATAGCCTGAGAAGGCATCAGGGAAAGAGAGTCTGGTGGAGTTCAGAATATGTTGTCTTTGCTGCTCATTTTTGTTGTCTGATTGCGTTTTGACTAAAATAAGATGACATAGGTTATCCTCATTCGCAATGACATGTTGTGGATAAGATGGGAACCTCGATGAATTGCCACGTGGGAACTTCCTTCTTGGTTGTGAGAAGGATGCGATACGTGTGGGGGTTTACATCAAAGAGATTACAGTTGAAGAATGAAAGAAATAATAAATTTTGTTTTGTTTAAGACATTTGGCCCATTTACTTTCTTTATATGAAAACTTTGCGCCATAGGCAGAAGATGTGTTTAAGTTGAGCTGTCTCACATTCTTCCTATTCTTGGTACCAAATATTATTGTTAGATCAATTTTTTCTTTTTCATCATTAGTTTATTAGCTGTTGTGATGACATTCTACCGCAAAAGGAAGAATCCAGTATTTTAACTTCTGCCCTCTTTGACAATTATTCGTGTACATGTTGGCTTTAGGTGGTGGTGCTTGGAGGGGGATCTTTTGGAACAGCTATGGCTGCTCATGTTGCTGAAAGAAAGGCCCAAATAGAAGTCAATATGCTTGTACGAGATCCTCATGTATGTGAGGCTATTAATGAGAAGCACTATAATTAGTGAGTTTTCTGTCTTATTGCTGTTCCATGATACTATGGTTTGGCATGTTGTACTGAGTACTTTCACTGTCCATGCTTATTTTAATTGGCATAAGTATGGTTTACATCTTTTCTTTGAGCATTGGTTTTAGTTCTGCAAAGTTTCTTGACTTTCCTCATTCTCCTTTGATCCCAGTAAATATTTTCCAGACCACAAGTTACCAGAAAATGTCATTGCAACAACTGATGCCAAAGCAGCTCTGCTGGATGCAAACTTCTGTTTTCATGCTGTACCTGTGCAGGTATCTTCATTCACGTATGCATCTGGTTGAATGTCCATTGATACTTAACTTTTAAATGCCAAATTAATCTCAGGTTCTGCTTTCTTGGGACTTGTTGCCCACATTTTAAATTAAATTTTCCAAGGCTCCAATTACCTATAATTAAAAATGTAGAATTGCTTCCTTTGACAAAATGGATAAGAAATTCAACTGCAAGCTATTAACCTAAGCACTATAGCTTTGTAATCTTGAGCAGAGTAACTTTATTCCCCTCGTTCCTCAACATTATGATATCCAGGAGCTCCATTGATTGCAGTTTAGCTCGTCTTTCCTTGAAGAGATTGCTGCATATGTTGATCCGAGCTTACCTTTTATATCCCTCAGCAAAGGTTTGGAGTTGAATACCTTAAGAATGATGTCTCAAATAATTCCAAAAGCTCTAAAAAGTCCTCGCCAGCCTGTTGTTGTCCTATCAGGCCCTTCGTTTGCACTTGAGCTGATGAATAAATTGCCAACAGGTACTTCAGTATGTTTGAGAGCTATGTTTGTCTGGGATGCTGTTTCTCCCATCGGTTTCTGGTTTATCTTACTGAGCCATCCTTGCATATGTAGCAATGGTGGTTGCCTCTAAAGACAAGAAGATGGCAGGTGCTGTTCAGCAGCTTTTAGCTTCCAAAAACTTAAGAATTAATACTTCCAGGTGCTGGCTTTATCTTAAATCTTTTTTAGATGACTTGGAGATGTTGGTAGCTCTTGCTGTGTCTTACATAATACTAATGATTGACATTTAAACCTTAAAAAAAATGATTGACATTTAACATTCTAGTCCCTTCATTATGCTGGTATTATTTTGATGGACAAAGTTCAGAAATGATAGGCTTTGGTGTTAAGCTGGTTACCCTGATGTTACAGTGATGTCACAGGAGTTGAAATTGCCGGTGCACTGAAGAATGTACTGGCTATAGCAGCTGGAATTGTTGAAGGATTAAATCTTGGTAATAATTCAATGGCAGCTCTTGTTGCACAAGGCTGCTCTGAGATCCGTTGGTTGGCTACAAAGGTTAGTACTCAAGCTCACGCTTCCTGGATATGGCTGTGTCATCGACAGGAGGATACTGTAAATTTTGATTTCTTTCTTTAGTTTTTCTTGTTGCCTCTGTTATCTAAGTCTGGCATTTGCTGCTTCGCAAAAGCTTAAAGTATTTGAGATTATGTTTGGATTCTTCTCTTACGAAGTTGGATATGTTCGCTATTTTTTGATACTTCTGTCAATTGTGCAAAGCCTGAACTCTCTCTCTCATTCTTGGCTTGAATGTCTTGGCATGTTTTTTAAATGCTTCATAACCGATGTTTCTCTCTGGGAATACGGAGTAGTCATTAATTCTCTTCTCTATTGAATGAAGATGGGTGCCAAATCTACAACATTGACTGGTTTATCAGGAACTGGAGACATTATGCTCACTTGTTTTGTGAATCTTTCCCGAAATAGAACAGTGGGAGTTCGACTGGGTGCAGGGGAAAATCTTGATGATATTCTTGGTTCAATGAATCAGGTCCTTGAAAAGCTTCTCTACATGCACACGCCTTATGTATTCAACTTTTCTGGCTTTCTAACTGCGACAATGGTTTAGGTGGCTGAAGGTGTATCAACAGCTGGAGCTGTCATTACCCTGGCTCAAAAGTATAAGGTTAAAATGCCAGTTTTGACAGCAGTTGCCCGGATTATAGACAATGAACTGACGCCTACAAAAGCTGTTTATGAATTGATGAACCTACCTCAGGTTAGCCAGCCCCTTCTAGCATTAATAAAGAATAGATTTTTTTCTTTTGACAGGAAAGTTATGTATTGGTCCGTTCTTATTGTTTGATCTGCTCAGTCCTTTTTGGGCTAGGTTTCCAACATTCTACTGTTTAGTACTTAGCTGTAACCGAGTCTTGTTTGTTTTTATCTCTCAGGTGGAAGAAGTTTGAATGATACGTTTACCAAAGACTTTATAGAAACCTAAATCACCCTCGTGAAGGGGCACGGCAGCTGCTGCTAGCTAGGAGCAACACAACAGATGAGATTACAAAAATCTACAGGAGGATATATACTTTGAACCCTTCCAAGGGATGTAATTTGTTAGATTTACATCCTCCCCCCAATATTCTTTACCCTCGTTAAGCAGGCTGCATCAGAGTATCAAGAACTAATAGCTAAAGTTTTGTTGATCGATATGATCAAATGGAAGAGGGATGTGAATAATTGAAGTTAGTAAAATCCTGAGGTCCCATGTCTGGGACATTTTGTGATCTGCAGCTTCATTTCGTTTCAGTTTCACTTCCTTTTTTTTTTTTTTTTTTTTGTCTAGACTTCATCTTTGAAGCGGGTTATTTTTTTTTTAAACCTTTATCCTGGATAGCATGATGTAGAAATTCGCAAGACGATTCCTTCACTCTCTCTACTATATCATTGGAACAATATGTTTCCAGTTGGAAGAACGGAGCTAATTCATCCTGGATCCAGCGACACAAACTATAACTTCTACCAGACTTATGGCTTTTCACTGCATAGATACTGATGTGGGGTTATCTTTCTTAAACCTCGAGAAATGAGGATATGAACTTCAACCTGTTCAAATTCCGAAGCTTTTCAGCTCTGCTAGCCGTAACCCAATCACCATCTTTGCTCAACTCCAGAATACAGGTTCTGGTAAAACAAGAACGCCATTGGGAAGCCCTTCAAGTGTATGGTCAGGAATCTTGTTTCCCTCTCCACATCTCCAAATTCACGTTGCCTTCTATACTTAAAGCTTGCACTTCCCTCTCAAGCCCTCAGTATGGAAGGGCAATACATGGAACCATCATCACCTTGGGTCTACAATTCGATCCTTTTATTGCCACTTCGCTCGTTAATATGTACTTCAAGCGTGGGGATGTTTACAATGCCTTCCAGGTGTTTGATAATGTGTCCCAATGTAAAACACTGGTTCAAGACGTTCCTCTTTGGAACTCTGTGATCGATGGCTTTCTTAAAAATGGGTTTATAAGCGAGGGAATTCTCCAATTCCGTAGAATGCAGTTTTCAGGTGTTAGTCCTGATGGATATACTCTTTGCATTATGCTTGGACTCTTGGATCACGATTGCGGGAATGTTCAAAGAGGAAGGGAAATTCATGGTTATATTGTCAGAAGATCATTGCATGATACTTTTGTTGCCACCGCCTTGATTGATTTGTACTCCAGATACGGTAGGCCGATGGATGCTTGGTATATTTTCCACGGGTTGGAGAATAAAAACCGCACTACTGTAGTGTGGAACGTGATGATTAATGGATTTAATGAGAGCGGATGGTGGAGGAAGAGTTTGGAAGTTTACTCATTTGCCAAGAATGAGGGTTGCGTTCTAGTCTCATCAACACTTTCTAGTGCATTGGCTGCTTGTTCTCACGGTGGATGCTCTGTTTTAGGTCGGCAGGTGCAGTCTGATGTTATTAAATTAGGGTTTCAGGAGGAGCCATATGTTTGCACTTCTCTGTTGACCATGTATGCCAAATGTGGACTGCTTGTAGATGCAGAAAAGGTTTTCCATGCAGTTGCACGTAAAGAAGTTGAAATATGCAACTCTATGATATCAGCTTACGTGGACAATAGCTTCTTCTCTGATGCTTTAGATACTTATCAGCAAATGCGACTGAGTGCAATTCCTTCCGATTCATTCACTGTCCCAGATATTATAGTATGTTGTAATATGATGGAGTTGTATGATCTTGGGAGGACACTGCATGCAGAAATTGTTAAGAGACCAATCCAGAATAATGTTGCAATCCAGAGTTCTCTCTTGACCATGTACTCGAAGTGTGGGAATTTAAAGAATGCCCTTGATATTTTCAGCAGCATTGGGATACGGGATGTAATTGCTTGGGGTTCCATTATATCAGGTCATTGCCTAGATGGCCAATTCATGGAGGCTCTGGATTTATTTAAACTGATGGAGTCTGATGCTGTGAAACCTGATTCTGATATAGTCGCAGCTTTGATAAATTCTTCCACAAAAACAGGGAACACGATTCTTGGTCTCTGTATACACGGGACTGTTATAAAGAGAGGACTGGAAGTTGATGCCTACGTTGGTACTGGGTTGATGGATCTTTATTCCAAACTCAGACAACCAAACTCAGTCGCATCTGTGTTCTCTGATATTAAGCACAAGAATTTGGTGGTTTGGAACTCTTTAATTTCTTGCTATTGCCAGAACAACCTCATAGATCTGTCAATCAGCCTTATTCCTCAGATACTGCAGAGCGGCTTGACTCCTGATTCTGTTTCTGTTACTACAGTCCTCCTTGCTATCTCATCTGCGGCAGCATTGCTCAAGGGGAAGGCAATTCATGCCTGCAAAATAAGAATTCAAATTCCGGATGATATTCAAATGGAGAATGCATTAATTGACATGTATATGAAGTGCGGATCCTTATCACATGCCAAGCATGTCTTTCAGAAGATGTCGTGTAGAAATTTAGTAACATGGAATTCTGTGATCTCTGGTTATGGATCTCATGGGGAGTGCCTTAAAGCAATCCACACCTTCAATGAGATGAGAAGCTCGGGTATCTCCCCAGATGACATTACGTTTCTTTCCCTGATTTCTTCTTGCAACCATTCAGGTTTGGTCGATATAGGCCTGGATACGTTTGAGCTGATGAGAGAATACAGGGTTGAACCCAGAATGGAACATTATGTTAACATGGTTGATCTCTTGGGCCGTGCTGGATTGTTGAATGATGCATATGCTTTTATAAAGAAAATGCACATTGAGGCTGACCGGAGCGTGTGGTTATGTTTATTATCAGCCTGTCGAGTCCATCGCAATGTAGAGCTAGGGGAACTGGCCGCTAATAACCTGTTGAAGATAGATCCCGACAGGAGCAGCAATTACATACAGTTGCTGAATTTATATGTAGAAGCTGGTTTACATGTCAAGGCAGCAGATTTGAGGATATTAATGAGGCAGAAGGGATTAAAGAAGGTCCCAGGATTTAGTTGGATTGAAGTGAAAAACAGGATTGATGTTTTCTTCTCAGGTGATTCATCCTCCATCGAGACAATTCAAATCTTTGAAGCTCTGAAAAGCCTAAATCGTAACATGAGGAAGACACAAGATTCTCATGAATCTGTTGAGGAAGGCTGGGACTAACGGAATGTGTTATACAAGTCTTATGATTCTCAGACTGTTGCCGAGGAAATGAGACAAGGATTAAATATAACCCACCAGTGCACTGTACCCACTTTATAATTGCGTTTGTGTCAGAATTTAGTGGTTTTATTTATTGTTTGTACACGTTTTGTTCACTTATCCAGAATGCAACGCAACTCAAAAATTACTTGCAGGATGAATGTATACAGCTTCCTTAAACCTGTCCCGGCAATTGTTTTCACATAACCAGACAAGAACCTTTATTCTGAGTGGAATTCGCACCAGCTATATAAGGAAAAGTGACGATTAACAGCGATTGTATATGCTCCGAAACCATAAGGTTGATGTATGATATCTATTGTTATGCAATTCAGTCGGGCTGAAGTTTCTCCCAAGTTTGTAGCTCAAACCACCACAACTTACATTAAACTTTCTCCATGACAATTCTATGGCAGTTAAAAAGGTTCTGGAACTCTGAACTTTCACATTGCGCATTTTGCCTGATTAACCGCTTTTCTCTTTTATGCACAAAAAAGGAAAGAAAGTGAGGAAAAAGTTCTATCCAGTAGGTCAAACTCCTGAGCTTCTCAATCTACAGAACCACCTAGAAAGTAAGCTGTGATGGGATACTATTGCACTGGAACAAATCTAGGGCGGCAACTTTCGCTCTCAATTCTGCAATGACATCCTCTGCAGCCTCTGCAACATAAACAGGATAGTCCCAACATCTAGACACATTTGTGCATATGTTATCTAGCCATAGTCCATAGTTCATTATTCCCTTTTGTCCTCTTCAAGTTCTTCCCCCAGCCCAAACACATGATCAGGCGTGATTGAAGCTTTCCTTTCCTTTCTGTCCAACTTTGTTGCTAAATCTCCAGTGACTTTTACTCCACTGGTAGTCAAGGATAAGCCCTCTTCTTCATCATCAGCTGCCTCGTCAGCGTATGTATATCTGCACATCATAACTAGTAGAGTCAATAACTGTTGGTAAAGATTTGAAATTTAGTTAAGTTTTCTGCCACATATTCAGGAAGGTATTATGACCATTTCATGATCCTTTAAGCTAAAAGGTAAGAAATAGAGCAATCTAGTACTTCATGATGTTGAAGGCTTTAGAAAAATTTCTGAAGCATCTCAGTGTAGTAGAGTTTACCTTGTAGGATTATGGGATGGTGCCCAAAGGATACATATCACCATCAGCAGTAAGTAAGCGAGCAAAGTCCAAAATGCAGGGATGATCCATGCTCTTCGCCAACTTTCACTATAAGGATCACTTGCATTGAAGTATAGCTGGACCATCAAAAGTAGAGCATATTCACTTTCGGATTGTAACAAAATTGAAATACCAAGTAACATGAAACAGAAAACTGCCAGTTTTTTTTTTTTTGTGTGTGTGTGTGTGTGTGTGTGTGTGTGTTCATCCTTTGACATCATAGAGGACTCTTTGGATACACATATTAGAAGAAAGATCAAGCATGTACCTCATAGCCAATCCAAGCAACAGACACCAAAACAGATACCGCAAGAGCATTTGTAAACTTTCGGTAAAGCTCCAGTTTGGCCATACTCCTCTTAATCTGAGGTCAGGAAACCCAAGAACTTTTAGTTCTAATCAATCAGATTTTTCTCTGATGTTCAATTTAGGGTCAAAAGTTTAGGAAGACAAATCATGAACAATATATACATGATATAAAAAGGTTCCCGAGAAAAATTTTAAAAACTGAAGTGTAGTTGCCTAGTTGGCGATCTCTGATTATGATTATACTAGGGAAAGGGAGAAAAAAAAGTCTACAGAGAATATCTTCACTTTCTGAATATGAGTAAAGAATGATAAGATGTCAGTAAAATAGGTATAAAAGAATCCTATAGGTTGAAAAAAACAAAAAAAAAAAAACTAAAGCATTCTAATCATAATGAATGTGATAGGCAGTCAATCAAAAACATCCCAGGAAGTAGCTATTTCCCATGCACAACTGGCACCAATTTCAGAATAAGTCGCAACCAATTAATACTTATAATAGAGAACAAATAATATCTGGCAAGACTGTAGGAAAAAAGTTAAAAGTCTCAGAGAAACATAAAATTACCTGAAGTTTTTCCAAACTTTTAGATAATGATGAAAAAATCCAAATGATAAAGAAGGCATCCAGCATTGCCACAGGAAGCACCAAGAAGAGTCTTGCTTTCCCAGAGAAGTCATTGATGTTTCCCAAATGCTCAACAAGCTCAAGAGCTTCAGAAGCCATAAAATATACAGCACCAAGAAGAAACACTTTTGATTTGACGCCACCCAGGGTGGGCCGCATTACACCATAACCCATCGCAACAACCAGAAGAAGAAGGCGCGAAACAGTCTTCTTGATAGCACTGAAGGAAACCGCCCAAATTGTTATTCCCATGGGTCTATAACCAACAGCATTAAAATTCGAATACTCAAAATACCAAAGAGCCATTTCACACATTCCCAGACCGATTACAGCAGTTATATGGTAATGCAGCTGTATGACATCTTTCCAATACTGTACAAACCGAAGAAACCAGAAGAGACCAAGGACAAGATATGCCAGTGACATAAAGCCATAAAATGTCATCAGCGGAGCCATCTTCCCAGGTAAATAACCATCAGGATTATGCCAAACAGTTTTTCCACTAATTAGTGTGCCCCTTAGTTCAGGATTGCAGAACATGAAATAGAGATAGTACATCCCAGTTTTATTGATCTCCACGGTTTCAAGAGCCATAGTGGCCTCTTCACTTGTTCCAGCAAAGGAGGCTTGAAATCGCTTTGGCCAACCAGGATTGTCAGGATCTTGTCGAACTATGACCTCTCCAACCTTGCAGGAGCCATCTTTAGCAAGAGCAGGGGTACAGCATATATCCTCGGAGTTCAAATAGGCTCCTCCAATCTTATCCCTTTCCTTCACTTCAACTATTATGGCTTCAACTACACCAGTACTTGGCTGCATCTCATTCTGCTTGCTTGCAGCCTCACGGGTTCTCCTAAACGAGATGGAGTCAAACCTGAAAGCAGGCAGAATTGTGAGCCAAATCAATCTCTAAGCAGTTTCTATTCTCACAAATAAATTACCAGTAGTACTACCTTCACAAGTGTTCTAGTTGGATGAAAAAACACGCATCAAAATATTCAAATTATGTTACTTTGTCACAAGAGTCTGCTGAAGGAGAGTTCACATGATTCAGTTAAATGATGTCTGAACAACGGGGGTGAGTATCAGGAAAACCTAAAAAATTAACTGCTGACCGAATGTATCATAAAACTTGCCCAAGAAAACTTTTACTTTAACAAGTATATAATAAGTAAGGGAGGAAACAGCATATCCCAGTTCTATACTAGACATTTAACAAGTACAATGTTATCACATTTCTTTACCGGTATTACAGGATCAAACTAAACTATGGGTGGTCACAAGCACGAGCAATCCCATAACTAAAAGAGCTAATATCTATAATCTCAGGAAACTTTTCACAAAGATGAAAAAGAAGGGAAAAAAGTATTTTTTTACCTAATGAAGGACTTGCCATCAAGAGGATTATTAGAATCATCAGAAGAGGTTTTGCCGGCATCAGTGGCGACCCTGGAAGCGTAAAGACCTTCATTGCCACCAAGAAAGAAGAAGGAATTGAACTGGGGAATGAACCCTGCGTTCCTGTACTCATGGATCGAGCCCCTAACTTCCGCAGGCATCCAATTTGCTACCAGCAAAAATCCCAGTAAGAAAAACCCAATTCCTATCCGGTTCTTCATGGTTCACCCCGGATGAAAGCAATCGCCGTCCTCAGAATCTGGTTTCAGCGCTCGTTCCTCCCTTCTTCAATCACTGGTTTCTTGATAATGTAAAGTATTCCTCAGGAAACCTAAAAGTAAGTACACCCTACAAAAATACACTTGATTTTTGGAATGCAGCGGAGGGAAAGAGGAGGTAAAGAGGTTGATGATGAATGTAACTGGTAATGGTGGTTACTGGTAAGATTGTTTATAATATCTCAGAGTCGTCTTTAACTCCAGAGTCTAGACAGTACAGTTACACTGTAATTCATTTAGTCAGATCTCAGTAACTCTATGTGTAATAAAGAACAGAGGAGTTTGGCGACATTTGCTTTTATTGTAATGCATTGACAAATGGGATTTTTGGGATTTCTTAATTTGGATTGGGAATTCCCATTTCTGCTAATATTCTTCCCCTTTTTTGTTGATGAACTCGAGAGTGGTGAAAGAAGCTTCTACCAAAACGCTAGAAATAAATTCTGGACTTTGAACCAATTTATTAATATGACTAGTGGGGTGTTTTTTTTTTTTAATTAAATAAATGGGTATGAGCCTGCTGCCTATAAGGGAGAGTTAGCAGCAAGTTAGGTGTGAGGGATTTTCACTTTCTTCTGATTATATCCTATTATATTAGAAACAAAAACCTCCCTTTCAAACACTTCATATGATTGCCACGTAGCATGTAGAAAATACTAAATTACCCTTTTGTCTAACCATAACTAAATTACTAAATCTCCCTTTGCACTTTATGTGGCACATTTTTTTTTAATTTTTTCTTTATGTTTCATTCAACTAGAGTGGTTTTTTAAATTGAATTGATCAATTAGGTTTTTTGTTACAAAGTGTCAATTTTGTTTTAAGTGTATACCCTTCGGATGAAACTTATTACAAAGCTATTAAAAATCTCTAAAACTAAGTATTGATTTGGCACGACCAATGGAGAACGTCAATAAATCATCTTACTAATATTTAAATTTATTAGGATACTTTTGTATTTTATCTAACATTTACTTCAACACATATATTCGATTAAGCTATTTATTTAATAAGTAACACTTATAAAACATTTCTAAAACATACATGGCGAAATACAATTTATTTATTTTTTTTGCGAAATACAAATATTTGTATGATCACACTTATAAAACATTTTTAAATCCTTCAAACATTTCTAAAATATATCGCTCCAAATACAAAATTTTATTTTTTTCAAATATAAACATTTCTAAGATCTACAGATAAACTGGGCCAGGGTCGCGCATTGCGCGACCAGACATCACTAGTATATTGAGGTGGTTTAATACAAATTGCAGCATTCTACCATGAAGTGTTATCATGAGCTAAATGAAAATTCAAAGGAAATCTGCATCTTACGCGTGTTCTTCACCAAATGCTTCACGTTTTCGGCTCACACTTCAGCAATAAAAGCACAAGATTAATGAAAGGGATTTTCGCCGTGAAACTCCAAGACCGCGCAAAATTAACATGTTACCGCTTTCTTCTATTCTCTGCAACGCCAAAACGCTGATATATACTTACTATAGAAACAGCCAGGAACCTGGTAGGAACTGATATACTGCCACCTTTCAACCACTTTCTTCCCTCCCCCCTAGAAGGGAACCAAACGCACATCTCGTTATTACACAGACGAACACTGTCATAGAGCAACAAACGCTGGCCGCAGTTGAGCCGAACAGAAAAAAGCACTAACCCAAGAATAAAAAGTTCAGTCATCGGTGAAAGAAAAAGGGGGTTCATGAATCATGGATGTATAGGGTTGTACAGGTTTTACAGTTTACACCATCTACAAAATTACAATCAAGTAACGCTGCTCTTTCCACATAGTTGACGGGAAAGCCAGCACTTAAGCAACCATAGAAAACACAAGGGGGAAAAAAAAAGAATATAATCCAATCAAACAATAATATTACAAATCAAATATGGTGCATGAGGAAGTGGGGGTGAACTTATCTAACTACAGAGAGTGCAAGTTCATAGTTTAGTTCAACTCAGGTGGGCTAATCTACAAAACCTTCCATCTTCTGAAATTTTTCTTACATCCTAATCTCTGACAGTTTCTTCATTTCTTCTGTTGTTCTTTTGGTTAATATGTTCAACTTGCTACTTTACATCCCAGACGACGTTCTGTTTATCCTTTGAGCACCCAGTTTGGGAGCAGGCTTGTTTCCTCGGCCTCTTCCAGCAGATAGAGGCTTTGCTCTTGTGGTAGGGGGAGGAGCTGCAATGGCTGCCCAAGGGTCATCACTATCTGCTAAAGAATCACTTGATCTGGAGCTGGTAGGTTTTAATGAAGTCTTTGGCACTGGGGCAGCAATGGCACCCCATGGGTCGTTGTCAACTATTGCTTCACTACTTGTTGATCTCAAAGGTTTAGACGTCGATTTCGGAGGAGGGGCAGCTATGGATCCCCACAAATCGTCATCTTCAACTTTGCTCGCTTTTGATGCAACTTTTGGCTGCAAACTCGCACCTGAAAGTTAAAAGATGAAATCAATAAGGTGAAATAATTCAACATAATTCAAGCTTACAGATTAGGAACTAAAATAACCTAAATAGACCAATTTAACTTCCGTTCCCTACTCAATGGTGAGATTTGAACGACCCAAGGTTCTTTGGCTGGTAGGTAGGGACAAGGGTTGGTAGAATCAAACTCATTCAACTGGTCAACTCTTCATTTCTAAATACACATCTAATATCCACAGGTTGAAAAAAAATAAAACTGCAATTTTTTCGTGCAACTAGACACGCTCTCACCTTGTTGCTTTGGCTGTACAACGGGCCGCTTCTGAGCTGCTTGAATGTTTGCAAGAACGGGAGAAGGTTTTGGATCTTCTAGAGGCTCGATATCATCCCATCCTTCCTTGTCATTTTCTTGATCGACATCAATTCCATTTTCAAGTTCTCCCCATCCATCAGTCGACGACGGGGAAACAGGTTCAGGTTGATTCAAGGCAATACTACTAGTACTTGTATTAACTGGCGTTAGACTAGCACCGTCCACTGCCAAAAATGACAACGTAAACCAACATCAGATATTGAAGATAATAAACACAAAAGTAATTTTAGGCAACAATTCTTTTAACTTAGGTGCAGTTTCAGGCTTCTCAAATTTCTAAGTACTGGTTCACTTCGCTTGAGTAATTGTTTCTTATCTGATCCATTGTTAATGTGGGGCCAATGAGAACTTAAAATTCAAGCCCTCTTTACTCTCGGGTGTTAATGGACAGCTCCCAATATTTCATCTTCTCAACTCATTTAAACTAAAAAGCTACAGCCCATCCCCTTAAATAAAGACCCAACCGAGAGATTACCCATATGCACAAAAACAAGAGGGTACAGGGCTGATGCTCTGTGTTATCAATATGCACCACCCCAAATTAACTCAGAGAACTTCTGACGAGCTAACCTGAAGAAGTATTAGAGCCCATAGAACTATGAGGCACGCCAGAATTTACAGAAGAATCGTGAGCCTGTTCATTAGGTTTTCCTTTCGAAGTCAAAGAGCTCATAGCCCATCTGCATGATAGTAGTGATATTAGCCACCAGAAAAATTCAATTTCTCAAAATGAATGAAGATTATTGCATAAACCAAAATTCCTTGCAGCAGCCATGAAAATAAGGAGAATGTAGATCTCAATAAAAAAATAAATGAAAAACAATTTTGATATGGCCAAGAGACAATGACTTCTATCCAAAGGAATTTGAATCCACAAAAACAAGGCTTGATTACACATTTTAACAGATTATCTCCCACTGGCCTTAAAATAAAATTCAGAATAAACACCACAATCAGACAATACAGTTTTCTAAACAGAAGAAACTCGAGACTATTGACATGAGGCAGATTTTGGATCTTGGGTATAAAATATTCCAAAGAAGTTACGGTTTGGTATCATCTTGCATGGATCTGAGGAGGCATATTCTAAAAAAGAAATAGCAACACAAAATGTGGACTAACTATGAGCCAGCCGTCTAAAAGACATAGCCCTCCTCTAGAAGCATGATAAGCTGAAACGTTAAACATACATCAACTGCAATGTAACATCAATACTTCATCAAATTATAGGCCACACTAAATTCAATACCAAGAACAAGTTATGAGGTAATGCCTTATTAATGAACAGATTACAAAGCCCCTACATACCCAAGTAAACCAGCATTCCCGGGAAGATGAAAACTTCCAGCAGTTGCTGTCCCTGTTACATCACCTGCATTTGCCTGACAAAACGAAAAGGGAGAGTGAAAACTAAGTTAAAAGGCACACAAAATACAGGGAGTCAAATTTCAAGGCAAAGTAAACTTATAAGGCCCACCAGGCTTAACAGAGACGTGAAATTGCAAGCAAAACACCAAGAATTCACATACTAGGAGACCAAGTTTAGCATGTTTCGCTCATGCTCTGTTTCTGCCACTTATTCACCCAAAAATCAAGTATATGACCGAAGCAGAATGTTCAAATTTCTGTATAAACTAAGATTTTATGTTCACACCCCGACATAATGTGCCTTCCAAATGGACAAGCATAACAATCATAAGATCAGATGAAAAAGAAACCATACTAATGCACCAGAAGCAGAGACAATGGAGAATCAAAATAAACTGAGGTAAGACTCTTTCATCAATAAAGCACACTTCAACAACCATATCATCATTCAGAGACAAAATAGAAAAGAGAAGAAGTTCAGGCACAAACCTTATCATGATGTTGCTTCACTATTTGCAGAAACTGCTCCACCGCTTGGAATGCTTTTGATTGAACTTCACTGTCCAAAAGAAACCTCATTATCAAAACAATGAATTTATACAAAAGACATGTTATTTACTAACAAATACATTAATCGTGTGTGTGTGTGTGTGTGAGAGAGAGAGAGAGAGAGAGAGAGAGCATTTTGCAACAATCAATATGCATATTAGAAAATCAAGCAATTAGTGGTTTCTAGAGAATTTATACTACAAAATATACTAAAATCAGTTCCTATTATATAGTCACGCACTTGCTTATATTTAACATTTAACACTTCAAACGGATCCAGTTGCACGGAGAAGATGCAACCAGCAACTATTTCAAACATAAAGAAAGTCTTCTTTATGCGAGTACCCACAAGGATATCTATCTCCATCCAAATATGTCATCAAGAAACGAGGGAAACATATGATTAATATTCAACAAATCACAAGTTCCGGTCAAGAATATCAAAGTCAAACAAAAGGCCAAACATTCATAATCATGACAATAGAGATTCGTTAGCCACATGCAAACATTTCAACTGTGAAGAGAAACTATTGACAATCTGTATTAGGAGCTGTGTTAGAAAATTGTCAATCCCCACCCTCTGGAAATCAGATGTCCTCAGAAAAGTGCTATTAAACACGAGTTCATTTTCTAAGAAAACTACTGTGCCTCTTATGCATCAAGTAGGCATGCCGTAAATTATACCAAATCTTAATTAGTTATAAAACCTATCAGATCCGAAAACAACGAGTTTTCTTTCTAGTAAAAAAAACAATGTCTCTTATGCATCAAGTAGGCATGCCGTAAATTATACCAAATCTTAACTAGTTACAGAACCTATCAGATCCCAAAAAAAATAACAATAACAATATATGATATTAAGGGGCAATGAATCATCGACTGTGACGGCTAAACATAAAAACACTGGAGAGATATGGACCAAGGAAACGAACTTCAGAATTTGGTATGTTAACCACAACTAAGTTAAAATAGAGTAGAATGCACGAAAGCTCACCTGTCAGGATCAATGGTCAAGACAACAAGATTAGGCAGAATTCGAGTTGCAATCTCAGTCGCATCATAGTAAGAGCTAGTGGCACATAAAGCCATAATACCTGACATCCATAATTCTTGTTTAGTACCCCATGAAAGCCAAAGGGGGGCAGAGAAGAGGAGGTAGGAATGAAAACCTCAACATAGGTACCCACTCACGATTGGGGAAATGTGAAGATATGACTGAATGATAATTTGAATAAGCAAGACAAAAGCAAAGAAGGATAATCGACCTGCTCCTCTGGCGGGTGAAAATGTGTCACGTAAAGCACGGGCTGTAAATGCATTTATCAGAACCCTTTTCCTCATCTGCATCCAAAACCAAGCATTCACATAAGAGATCCTACAACACCCATACAAGAGTGAAGAGATAATGCAACATCAAAACTTTACTACATGAGGAAATACCATATCCCACATATAAGACACATGCAACTTATGCTCATTTCAACCTACACAACCTCAACCAGAATTTACCATTGCAATAACATTTCATCTATATGGATAAACAATATAACTTACCCCTTCATTAAGATGACTTGCAATGTTTCCGAGTAATATAGTAGTGTTTGTTCTGATTGCTGGCTCTTCATCAACCTGCATGGCCCAGAAACTGAAAATATAAATAACAAAGTATATAAAATACACATATGCCACATTAGCATTGTCCTGCAATTAAGAACCTGTAGCTTTGAGAGATACTTCAACAAGGATCCTGATATAGTACGTTGAGATAGCTGCAAAAATAAAGCCAAAAAGTAGCACAAGATTTAGTGACCACACATTTCACCTTATGCAACCAACAAACCTTATAGTAAATAAAGGAAATACAAGAACTAGGTGCTGCTATATCAAAGTAGTGGAGAGGGATGTTCCAGTGATTGCTTAGTACCCAAAGATTCTCAAGTGGCCACTAAGGAATCTCCAAATACTAGATAGCAAGTTATTACTTTCAATAACCAGATGTCATCAATTCAATATGAAACTTTCAACAAACCAATTAAGTTTTCATAATCAGTGTAATGACATTGCATACACTTATCAACAACTCGAAGTGTATGATTGCACTAAATTCTGTAAAATATAAACTTCGGTGTCCGGAAAAACTTTCAGAGTTCTAAACAAGAAAAGCCATTTTGTGAATATATACTTTAGAGTCTCTGTCGACAGCATTTTGGTTTTAGATCTGAAATTAAACTTGTTAAAGAAATCATAGGAAATGTTAAAAAGCTGGACCGGGAATAAAATATTATATCACAGAAATACTTTGGAATAAGTACAGGGTAACAGAAACCGAAGAGATTGAAAAATGAAAATGGGAGGGTTTGAGTTGGGTGTCCATATAGATCAATGGCGTCTTATCAGATTAGTCAGCAGAAATTCAAAGATCATGGGATCAAAGTCATGGCAAAGGAGGCTCCTCTCAACATCTCGCAAGCAAATCTTGTTGCCTACTGTATTTAACATAATATGATAAAAATGAAGTGAAGACAATAAACCTTAGGAGCTAGAACTAGCATGGACTTAAGAGTCAATTCCCTGAGAAAGGCCGACGTGTCAGAAAAGCCCGTTGCAATATGAGGATAAACCTGATCAAGAAAGTTCAACATTTAATTAAAACTACTTCTTAATGAATTGCCGGGGAAAAAAGGGGGGTGGAGTAGATCATTCCATACCTGCTCATCAACAATTTGTGAAGATAATGATTCACCAAATTGCTCAATGTGCTGCAATAAACCAACTCGAATTGCCCGATCATTCGATGCAAACAGTTTCACCACTGTAGGTAGCACCTAGTCAAGGAAATAAACTTAACTTCAGCAGAGATGCATAAACTTAGGGGATTTAAGCATAGTCACCACAGGTTAGTAAAAGGAATTTATTCAATGGAAAAGGACCTTGGAACCATATTCTTCCGTAGAGACCCAAGATCCCAGTTTGAGAAATGCTGTCAAAGCAGGTGCAGCAGCCGAACCAAACTCTAACGCCGATGCCAGCAAAGGAAGTAACTGCAAGGACAGAGAAAATGTCATAAATTTGATTAAAGAGCTATTAATACCACCAAATGAACATTGACATATTCATGGCAACCTTTTTGAGAACAATCTCACGAGGAAGCTGCTCTGATAGACTAGGAAGCTTACGGAAGAAAGTGTCCTTTTCCACACTGTCCTTTAAATTAAGTATTTCCATGAAATGGATAGTATCAACCAACTTATTCTGGAAATATTCTGCAAATTCAAAGTTACAATTCTGAGCAAATAATGATATACGAGAACATATAGAGTTGCAGTAGATAAATAATGTGCAAAATTATAAAAGATTAAAAATGTTAGCACTAATATGTTTCAGTAAGTTAAGAATCATGAACCACCATATCAGCAACTCCATTATTTCCCCTTATTGTTTCGAGATTAGGATCACAGGACAGCATGCGAGAAGAATTTTTCCGCAATTAAATAAACCCAAAGACAAACAATCGAAATTAAAGAATAACTTTGTCGGCTGGCTAACAACAACCAAGCTAATTTCATTATGTTCTCCAACATCCTTTTCTTTGTGTGCAATAGGTTTTCCCTTAAACTATGCCCATTAAAAGCAAAGGTAACAAAAAATTGTGTGTGTACTTGCCACTCTACTGTTGCCAAAACAGAGAATCCAAAACCAAACTCCACCCAACTGCCTTTAGATTCCAGTGCACGAAAAGTTTGAAGTAAAAAAGAGAGGAGCGGGGACTGAGGATCAGCACATGAATGTAATAGAGAACAAAATCCCAAACAACTAATTAAGCGCACACATCATTGGGTGGTAAGCAGAAGTATTAGCACTTAAGGATTATTTGGGTAGTACCAGTTCCCTATGCTACCCATTGTACAGACATAAGAAGGTCAGCCGTCAGAATTTACCTTGAGGAACAAAAATTCCACAAAGTTGCTGCAAACATTAACAAAGTGGGACAATTTTAATCTGCTACAGAATGAAAGCAAATGGGTTAAAAGATTCATGGAGACTAACCACTTTCTAAAAGCTTGGACGAATTTAACCTGCGAGAGGGAGTAGAACTCAAGAGCCGTGGATAATCTGGAAGTAGAGACTGTGAGAAAGGAAAATAAGAATAGCAAATGAAAACAAAATCATCGAAAATTAAAGCAGCAAATGAAAAACTAGTCAGCTAAAACAAAAAGACTCCAATAGGTATTATTTCTATGAAATGAAAATTCAAACAAAATACATACTTGTATGGTTTATCTATACACGCCCATAAAAAGTCTAAAGTATCAAAGAACATCAAAGAATGAAATACTCAGATGATACATACCTTTGGTATAGAAGCAGTATCACGCAATTCGTCTGATTTCATCAACTTGGTACCAGAGAAAAGTTCATAAATAAAACAACCTATTTCAAAGGGAATCAAGGGGCACACACCAAACAAACTGCCATTAGTACCAGTTAAGTAATCAAGATTAAAAAAATTTCAAAACTGCCAAATTCTAGATTGGAAAAAAATAATAATAATAATAAAATCATCAAGATGCAGAGATTAAGCCAACTCTTGACACAAAAAATCTCCACAACAGATTCAACCTCCACTCTTTCATCAATTTCACAACAAATGATTAACGGAGAAAGAACTCACCCAAACCCCAGGAATCAATGGCCCAAGGCGGAGATTGCCTAACTAATTTCCAGTCAGATTTCTGCAGCTCCATAGGTTTGTATTGTGAGCCAATAAGCCACTCATATTGCTGCACAGAAAATTAGACGAAGTCAAAATGCACATGCCATGCATAAGCATTTGAAAGAATAAGAATCGAAAAACCACAAGAATATAAGCTTTAGCATACAAACAAAAGAAAGAACCTTTAACAATGAAAAAAATGAAATACCAAGCAAGGCCCAAGCCGACAATTAATGTTTTTAAGCCCAAGTAGAACAACTTAATTGAAATCGTGGATCTAATTATAGCACTGGAGTATCCCATATCACGAAATAGGTTCTACTGCATCGCTTTCCAGATTCCACAGTGAACCACCAAAATTACATTATTTCACTCAAAAGAACGACATAAGAGTTTAAAATCACATCACATAGGCATTATATTCTTATCACACAGGCTGCAACAAAATAAGGTAGACAATCATCATCAATCAGAACTAAGCTATACCAGCATCGGTCCAGTTGAAACTTCGTTACTCCCATCAAATTCGGACAGAACATCAAAAGCATGCAGCTTCCAGTCCAAAGTTTGAGTGACAACAACACTAGCCATACATACATTACCATGAACCTGTAATACAACAAAACAATCCAATAAAGAAATGTTCAAACAATGGAAGGAAAGAAATTGAGAAAGAAAAAAAAAAAAAAAAAGGAGACGGACCACTCAGCAAGAGATATTGGTATCAGAAAATTATAAATATCTGTAGGATGCCCTGAATGCAACCAGAAAACTGATAATATCCAATCTAAACTTTCTTCAATATCAACAGTATTCAATATTCTACAGCACGTGTAAACACGATACATAAATTGGTTTTCACTCTTGGCCACTAGACTAGAGGTGATATATGATATTATATACTAAAAGGATTACGTTGAGTTATAAGTTTTGTACTAATTTCACCCTGCATGAGAGGGATTAACTTAAAACATACTTTACTAAAATAAGAAGACAAATGAATACACATACTAGTTTACAGTCATTATTCAAGAAGCTAACAGCTTTAGCTATCCGGTGCAGTCCCCAAGCAAAATACTCATCTCTGCAAGCATAAAAAGGTCGAAAAAGAAAAGTTACTCGTCAAACAAAAAGAAGAAACCTAATAACACTGAAAAAGTATTAGAGAGAAATAATTGCATAATCCAAAAATTATCACTTTAATATAGTGATAGACAAGAACAAGCAAATACCCTTGGCAATTTGACTAAATCTGGAAACTGAATTACGATAACCAGAAAACCGGACAAAAGTGCTTCAATGACCATGAGGATCAAGATGAAAACATATGATATCACTGTCACCGAGGAGCTAAAAAATGTAGTAAGAAAAAAAGTGATCAGCTCAATTTGATACCTTTGGGTGCCTTTCAATCCTAATTCCTTGATCTTTTCTGACAAGGGCATAACAGGCTCGGTAACTATATAGATAGTAACCTTTGTCGCAGAACCATCAAAAGTTTCAGCCTCGGTGCTGTGAAGAAATGAAAGAATATTTGGATGCCTGACCTGAAATTGCAGTCAACAGACGTTTTAGATAGCATATAACAGTAAGGGAAGTAAGAGCAAATACTTAATTCGGTGAAATAACTCCAAGATTTGTGATACTTTACATTCATTGGGGGTAATTCAGCATGCTAAGGTGGCTAGGTCATGTGTATAGGAGACCTTTAAATGTGTTGAAATCATTTGAATTATATAAGGAGAGAAAGGAGAAGGGGAAGACCTAAAGAAAATGAGACAAGCTTTGTATAAACTAAGTGCGCACAAGCTTTTTGACAAAAACATGAATGCCACAAGTGATTTAAACAGCCGGGCCAACAGATTGGATTAATGCCTAGTTAGTGTTGTAGTAAAAACAAAATGCAGTCCAAGCCTAAAACACGGACAACAAGGAGAAAAGAAAATCCATTAATCTTAGCTTTTGTGAACATGTCTTGGCTCTAAAAAAAATCTCCAAAAAACTTCTAAATATAGTATTCCAAGCGCATAGAAAAGAAAAGCAGTTTGAAAAACTGATTTTAACAAGAGCAACCTTCTTGTGAAAGCCCTAATTATAACTTGGAACTAAGTAAGCAGTTCTGGAAGTGCCAGAGCAACCCACCACCACCCGTCCCTCCCAATCCCCAGAAAAGATTAAAAAAAAAAATAAACCAGTAGATAATAATGAATGTACTTGATTAGTTCTCAGTTTTTAGCATAGTTTAGACTTACTGTACGTAACCGCTTGACACCATTACGACCAGCAACCAAGTGACCATCATTTGCATTACTTCCTTGCAGGGTGAATATTGACACGGGAGCCCCATCATCCTGTCAATTTAAATTAGAAATGAACAAAGAGAACTTGAAAAATCACAGAAGGCGTCTCAATGTAAGGATCAAATAAAGCAAGATTTGCCAGGATTCACAACTTAATGACAAGATATGAAGCATTATTTCAAGACCAGTGAGGATAAATGAAGCCACTGAAAACGGCCCACCTTGTGAGGGCTTAACTTCCCCTCCGAATCATATGAGAATTATGAATCAATGGGAATCTAATTACAAATCTCATGACTTGCTTTCACACAGTTTCTTCAATAGAGATGCACATCTGAAGTATGCACAAAGTTATCTCCTATACAAGATAAGTGACTGCCTTAAGAAACCATGACATTAAAATTTGAATGGATATTCAAATCTCAACAAAACCCACAACTAAAATGGGCCATAAGTTACTGAACCATCAAAACATAAGAACCCGCAATAAGTTGAAGTACCAGCAATTCCAAAAAGCATCCTTCAACTGCGAAGTTGAAAATCTTGCCAGTACAGGAAGGGGGTAGTTCATCTTCCTTAAAGGTCCTCCGGAGAGGAAAAAAAAAATCAAAACTAAGAGTGTTCTCTAGCAAAAGCTCTAGGGAGAGTGGAGCCCTAGAAAATCATTTTACTTGCCCATCAGAACAAAACAAGTTACTATCAGATCAAAGGAATATAACCTAAAGACAACATAAGTGCCAGTATTGATCAACCGCAGCTGTTGATTGATGTCCCAACAAGATGAAGAAAATAATGATGCAAGCAAAATGACTTCAGTGGCAAGATCACAACTCTCCTGGATTGAATTCTCTTTCCTATTCACCTAAATTCCCATATATCATGCATCAAACGATCGCAACCATTGCGAAAGGATGAGAACCATAAAGTGATGAGTAAAAAACTTGTCTCCATGATGTAATAACTTATCTCCAAGCTTCCTATTAAAATTCCTCTAAGTTGAATAATATCGGACTAAACCGAAACGAAAGCAAACAAAACCATAAAATTGCACAAAATTTTAACGAAGTATGAAACTAATTCGAAAGCGAGCAAGTGATTCGGCAAATTAATGAGATGAGAACGAGGAGAATTAAAACCTTGGAAGTGCCACGATAGTGTACCCAAGAACCCCAAGCAGAAGAATAAGGCTCCCCGATGTTGTATGGCAGATCTTTAATGCCGGTACCAGATCCGGCCACCACACCTTTCAAGAATTTAAACATCTTTTTCCGTATGCTAACGCGATCTCTGTCCCTTTCACACTATATCGCCGGAAGCTCGCCGCCGGGGAGGAAGAAAAGTGGCGGGACTGCGATTGAGACAGCACGACAGAGTGCGGGAACAGGGTGATCAGTAAGAGAACGGAGAGAGAAAGAGAGACTGATAAACTGATTAACGTATTTTGATTGGGTGCTTCGGATGTATTTCGGGATCTTGGTTAAGCTGAATCTCCACCGTCCATCGGGTTTTCGGTCACTCTATTAGTCGAGTAACTTGTGATTAGTGAACATAATGAAAGTAATCGATGTTTAGTTATTATTCTTTCTTCTTCTTTTTTTTTAAGTGTTTGATGAAAAGACAAAAGTATTTTACCGTACTTTTCATCAAAAAATTATAATTATTTACCATTATGAGATTTTTTACACGAACAATTTTCTTCTCAAAAAATGATTCGTCCATTTTTGTTTTTTTGTTTTTTTGTACTCTTTGCTATTTAAATAATACTTTATTTATTTTATTTTCCCCCTACACTAGAAAAAATAGTTTATGTATGCCTTGACCTTGTATGTCTTTTTTCCAAATACATGTTGTCAAATGACAAATATTGATTTTTTAAGTGTATAGTAATTTTACGCACTGATGTGGAGTAATTATGACTTTTTAAGTATATAGTAATTTTACGCACTGATGTGGAGTAATTATGACCTCTTATTTTTTAGTTACTTAACTGCTGAAATTATATCTTTTCTTGTAAAATTACATTTGTACCCTTAATTGAGTAGACTTTATAAGATATATATATATATATATGGAATTTTTAAGAGATTGTACAATTTTTCGCACTCAAATTAATACTAGCTAGCACTCAAGTTCCAAGTTATTTGAGGATGAATACTCTACCATTCTCTGAGGATGAACAAGAAGTAAATAATAGCATGAAGTTTTACATACATATCTGAAAGTTCCAAGTTCTTCTTCCTCTTGTTCTATTTTTTTGTTTTTCAATTTTAGTGTCCAGCAATAAAACTATATTTTCCATATTATGGTAAATCACTTAAAAACTGCACCGGACAAATCACTAATCATTTAACGATTAATATATATATATATATATATCCCATAAAATTATCCCCCGTAAACCAAGCTCAAAAATGGACTTCTCTCTATATACTAATACCTTTGTATAGTACAGATCTAAATTCGATATTTACTTCATTTTTTTTTTTTGGAGGGGGGAGAGGATATACGTGTATACTGATCTGTGTTACCGCGGATGAACCTTCCAAATGTACTCTTCGAATAATATGAGTCGCACACACATGCACACACATGTAGTCTTGTACACATTCGCGAAGGTGTGGGTTCGAAGGAAAAAAAAAAAACTATCGTTACAAATTGCACAAATTTGATTCCGTCGGGGTCCATCCCATAGGAACGAAGCACGAAAACGACGTAGTTTCGTGTGGACATGGAGAATATTGTGCAATGTGAGCCATATGGCACGAGAAAGGGTTATATGCATGCTGCTCCCCAGTGCCCTGGAAAGACTGCCGTACGTAGTATATATGGAGTGGTACAATGATGTTAGTTAAATGTTTTTGGTTTTGTTGACCTCATGATTGGCAAAGAAGACCTTCAACTAGAACAACAAAATGAGTAGTGTACTACTACTTTTCTGAGTATTATAAGGAGAAAAGTCGTCACAATGGGAAATTATGGATTTATATCGAACTGGAAAGTCCTCCCATGTTTTCATCCCGAAGACTTTCAAAAAGTATACTTCCTGTTTTTTTTTAAGGTTTCCTTTTATGAATTGGGATCGAGAACAAGTCCACCTCCAAATGTGCACCTTATTTATTACACATCCCGAATACTACTATCATTAAATTTGCGTCTTAACAATTGGCTGCTTTTTTTTTTTTTTTATGGCATAAAGTTATTGAAATGGATGCGTTACTGCACTGTTTAGTTACTAGTACAATTGAAGTCTTGTGAAATGGTTCGTAAATTAGTCAATATGCGTGGTTGGACGCGTTCTTCTTTTCTTTCAGTAGTCTCTATACTAGTTTTTGTCTACACTTTCAATTGAATGTTAGGGAGATGATCGATTGTAACTTATTACTGTACAAGTTAGTTAAGAATAAATATATATATATATATATGGGGAGCTGGTGGTGGGGTTTTTTTTTGTGGCCTTAATTATTTCCACTTTAGTTTCGAATGTGAACATTCATTTTAGATTAACAATTAAGTACTTTAAGTTTGGTTCTTACAGCTTTTGGATTAAATACTTCATAAAGTGTGTGGGAAACGATTATTTTGCTTTTCAGCTAATGCAAAAAGAGAGAAGCTGCCTTCACTTAATTCCATTCACTATAACTAGCTACTACCGATATTAAGACTGTGGGGAGGAAAGGAAGGTGTTGAAATTCCTCTCGTATTAAAGATAATAATCAATCTCCGATTAAAATCCGTCTTAAGTCGCGATTGATTGTTGTTTGGCCATCGTCGAACCACACAGCATGAAATTACATGACTACCAAAAGGGACAAAAAGAAAATCTAGAAGTTATGGTACTTTCGAACATTGCATAAATGACTATCTGAGTTATTCATTAATGGATGAAAAGGTGTTTTTTAGTTTGGATTGTTTTTCATTACTTTTCAGTGCATGAACCATGATAGATCTTGCGTATTCATAGACCAAACTTTTATACTCTTCTTGTTCTAACAATAATTGTCAAGTTTATATTTTCATTTTTAGTATAATTTAAATAAAAAATAAATATTTTAATTGAACAATTATTTTGGGACGCAAATATATATATAATTTAGTGTGATCGTTCAATACATTACAGGTTGTAAGTTTTAAGTTGTAGCGACGTCGTCATAAATACTAATGGTTTTTAGTAATTTATACAAGTTTACAATGAAAATTCCACTTTCTTGACTGGATTGAATATTAGGCCCAAATATATGTAATACCAAAAACCCCACTCAATATATACGCCAATGGACCAATAGATTCCAAATAGTATTATATTAATGCCTGACAGCAAAGATTCATATATCCAGAAGGTCAATTAATCAAGGGGTTCAATTCAAACTTCAAAGTAACCCCCCAGTCCCCTAATACCGTTCTAGCAGTAGCCCAATTTTTCCATTTTACAGAGTTTACATCGTTTATTATTTTTATCATCAAATTAATAACTGGTACGTGATTAAACATCAATGATCAACTACTAATCAATTGTGAAGTCAAGCACTAGCTACCTTGCGGGATGGATCAATTCATTCGATCACTTAATTAATTAACGTAAGACTGTCAATAACAAAGCAGTCATATCTTCAAACCTAGGAAAATTTCTTATTCAACAATTTGATGGACTGAAGTTTGGATTTCAATGGGGGCTGAGTCTTCTCGTGGACTCCAACTCTCCAAGGCACCTAAAAGAAAAATTAAAAAAATCCTAACTTTTAAAGAAACTGACTGGGTCATTTCTCATTCATCTTCGTAAGCTGCTTCCGTTCACCGTGTCCGTGTTAAAAGTACGCAAATACTTTGAACGACTTTCTTCTCTTCAAGAAAAAAACTTAAATAAAATAAATAATACTCCCTATTTTAGAATTACATCATTAATACTCCATCTTTTTTTTAACGATTTTACGGTAAACTGAAAAAACAAAGTTGCCGCTCAAAATCAAACACATATATAGTTTTTTTACATATTATATATATATATATATATATATATATATTCAACACCCAAATAAGTATTCCTATAAATAAACCAAATCCATGCAAGTTGTCTAGTTATAAAGACATGGATATTGAAACCATAACATTAATCACACAAGGTTGTAAAATGGCTAAAGACCTGGAAGCTACTCTACCAAATATGGCTACCCAACATGAATATCTCTTAAATTCATGTAATGAGATCATCAGTGTCTTCATCAGGGCCAAAGAGCGGATCAATTCAAAAGCCCAGATGGGTGTTTACGATCCAATTGCTTCTGGGGTTGCAGAATGGCTGAGCAGTAGCCAGACGCCGGCGATGCATTTGCTTCAGGCCCAACACCTTCTCGCCGGCGGGCCGGCGCCGGGGAGCAGTAGTACTAGTAGAAATATTGTGTTTGATCCCAAGGTGAAGGGAGTGTTAATGCAAGATGATCAAGATCTAGAAGGCGGAGCCGGCGGTACTCTGGCGGAGGTGGTTGCAGCTCGTAGAGGGTTTCCGGCGAATATGGTGCCGGAGGTGGCTGATGCAACAACTTCCGGCCCCAGAGGCGGTGGTGCATCGTCGTCGTCTTCGCAAAGACCGCGAAGAAGGTAAGAAATTTCAAACTTTTGGGGGAAAAAAATGCACAAAAATTCATTGCACGTGGTAAAAAGTTCCACTAATAGGTCACCCTAATTTTCACACATGAATTTCTCATGAAATTACGAATTCTTTTAATTGCATTATCAAATTAATAGGTACAGAAACTTTCTCTGTATCACCGATTTTGCATTATGCATGATTTAATTGTACAAATATTAATGCGGTGCCCACATGAGATGAAGTTTATAGATCAGACTGGGTCATTTTCCATTGGTTGATCCACTACTCTTATCTTTTCAGCATAAATTAATTAAGAAAATGGAACTCCCCCATCCATATGTGACCGTCTGATTTCAAAGTGTTTGCAAAAAAATTATTTTTCACAATCCAAAGGAAAAATCTTCATTTTAGATTAAAGATTAAGAAACCCATAAGGGTTTTTGTTGTCATGTACTTAATGTATACTAGATACTTAATGATCACAATTTCTCATCTCATCATAATATTAATATCAAGACTTGATTTCTCATCATATGTAGTCCTCAACTGTTGTCGTTATTAATAACTTCATTAACAAAAAAACTACTTGGACCGAGGTAGTTAAATAACAAGATTACTTGATCAATTGCCTAAACAAATTTTAACAGTGGCCGGAAACGTGTTGGGAAATAGGGCTATCGTGTCAATGCGGTACTTTTCGTAATTTCGTGTTAAATAGGCCTTGCATCATAAATAACAATTTTTTAAGGCTTCAGAACCCTAGATTCCAAATCTTGAGTATATTGTGTGTGTGCTTGTGTGTGTGCTTGTGTGTGTCTCAATGAAGCAGAGATGGATATTGTTATACTAATTGGAAACTTTAATTCGAAGGGATGGTGCGGGCACAAGGGTGGTGAGAGAACCTGCTCCGCAGATGGGGAACACTGAGATTCCACCTGAGGACGGCTTTACCTGGAGAAAATACGGCCAGAAAGCCATCCTACATTCTAGGTTTCCAAGGTACACATGTAGTAATATATAATATTATTATGATTAATTATAATTTGCTACATTCTTTACTTCTTCTATTTATGAATTCATTTTCAAGGTTTCCAAACCATTCAACATAGTTATACAAATCGAAGAGAATTAGTGTAACAAAAATATAGTTATATCCATTTATTTACCCCAACTAATTTGAAATTTATTTTTTTATTTTGGCAGAAGCATGAAAATCTTAGATTAAAATAAGAAAAAAAAATATAGGCTCATTTCTCTTGAAGATTTTAATTACAACCCTACATCCATTTTAGTGGATGTATGTGTCTCTCCCAAAGAACGACTTATCACTGTAATTTTTGTGCCAGGAACCATACACATTAATTAATTAGGTAAAAAATGACTGAAATTATGTCAGTTGAAATTTAATCAACTACATAAATCGCCTTTTTCAAAAAATAAAAATAAAAAATGAATACACACAATGGAGGTATAAAGTAGGTTTTTTTGTTATTATTAATATACGTACGTATAGTTAACATGAATTTAATATAATTTGGGGATGTCTCTTTCAGGAGTTATTTTAGATGCACCCACCAAAAGCTATACAAATGTCCGGCCAAAAAGCAAGTCCAGCGCCTGGACACTGATCCCAACACCTTCGAAATCACATACCGTGGGGATCACACGTGCCACCTTTCCTCCACCGCCCCTTCCGTGCCCCCACCGCCACTCCTCCTCCACAATCAACTCATCGCCGCCCAGCAAGACGCCACTCTTCTCCACCACATATCCGCCGCCACTTCCACCGTTAACCTTACCCCGGCGCCACCGTCTTCGGTCCTTATGACTCAGTGGCTTTCCATGGACATTGGTACCGGCGGCGGAGGGCAGCGGGCTACCTCCAACATCATCGACTTGGCTGGCGCTAGCATAACTAACGCCGCCGCAGCCGGCCCATCAGGCTCCGGTTTGCCCTTCGGCCGAGCACATATTAACGTTGAGGAGCAGCCTCGGGTGGCCGATATGGCCGACGCGATGTTTAATTCCGGGAGTAGCAGTAACAATAGCATGGACCTCATCTTTTCTTCCATGGACAACAAATGAGAACATATTTTATATATATAAATATATTAATCAAACTAATTATGTATAATTAATCAAATTCTTCATGGATTTGATCATTCAATTCTTGCTCCTTTGACAAGGGAAGCAAATTAGTTAATTAAAATAGTTAGGGTGACATATATTCGACATAAAGGTGTTGATAATGTGTTATTGGCCTAGCCGCTTAGGTATTTACAGGGGCAATTGATGTCTGATTCAATAACTCCAAATGTAAAAGTCTTACTACTTACTCCTTCCATTCACAAATAGATGTCGTTGGAGGAAAACTCAAATATTCCAAAATAGATGTCGTTCTCACAAATCGAGGCATATTTTGTCAATTTTTTCCAATATCACCCTTACATTGGAAATTATTGTGATGTGTATTAGAAGTGAATTTTATTGGGATTACAATTGAATTAAGAATAAATGAGGGTATTATAGTATTTTACAAGATAATTATTGCCTCCTTAAACTTTGTGAAATCTCTCCAGCGACATCTATTTGTGAATGAAGGGAGTAGATTCTCCAGAGCATTAATTCTTTGATCATATATATGTAGTGATGATTCTATCTGCTTTTATGTCTTCCCTTTTTTTGTCTCAACCTGCTGTAGACATGTAATGATGATCATATATATGGTTGGACGTTTATTACTGTGTTAACCATCTGTTTTATTCAACTTCCTACCCATATACTAGCAATAACAGTACTATCTTCAACTTGATGTTCTGTTTTATATTTTTTTTTAAAAAAATTATTTTATAATAATATATAAATTTGAACTAACTTTTTAAAAGTTACATACACACACATATATATATATATGTGATTTTTTAGTTCATAGCTTTGAAGACTGAATTATAAGTTAATATATATATTACTATATAAGAAACAAAAACCACACTTCAAAGAGCTCCCCTTCAATTGTCACGTGGCATTTCCACCTCATTAATTGTCATTAATTGGTATTAATAAATTAACAGATTTCTATAATGCCCTCCATAATTCACACCACGTGCTCTTCTGTTTTCTTCCCTCTTTCAAATTCTCACTCCTCCATTACAGTACAGAAGAGTAAATTATATTACTTCTTATTCCACAACTGATGAGATTGCTCTTCAGCCCCTTTCATTTTCGATTCTTCTTCCAAAATCTTGCACGTTCTCATAATCAAAATGCCGCCGTCCACCTCCGGTAAACCGCCGCTTCCAACACCACCCCGCCTTGCTCTGGCACTTCCGTCGCAAACCATTTTCTCCCGTGCCAGAGCCCATATCGCCACTTTCCATCTATTCTAACTTAGAATGGGAAACAAACCTTCTATAGTCATCTATTGTAACAGAATTCAATTGAATCCTACCTTAATCCATAAGCTTTCATTGATTTCTTCAATTGAATCCCATTTTCAATTCATTTCTTTCGATTTGGTTACTTTTCCAAGTATGAGAATGGATTACTCAGTTCCGAAGCTTCAGAGGTCGTCACAAACGAGCTCGGAGTTTCTGTACTTTGGCGCTTTGGTGAATACTCATGGAGCCATTGACAATAGTGTTATGCAGCAACAACACCCACGTGGCAGTAGCACTAGCACCGGCGACGAAAGCAGTACTGCAAATTTAAGAAAATTTGACTCGCCGAAGCTCTGCCCTTTGCCGCCGCTTTACGGTCACAGCAATGTTAGGCGAAATTACGGTAATGGTGATGTGGGGTTCGTCACACAGCAATGTTAGGCAAAAAATAAAAAAACTCTTCCAATACCGAAATATTTTGGGTAATAGTTTGCGCTTAGGGTCCAGTAAGTGAATACAGTCCAAATAAAAATGTTTTCATTGGCTGATGTTTGACCGAAAGGAAAACAATAGTATTTTGTATAGAGCCCACTCTTTTTTTTAGAGTAGAAGTAATAGTATTTTGTACTGAGGCCAAACTCTTCCAGCAATACAGTCCTACTAATTTATCCCACTTTTTACAATAGGGCTACGCACCATGATCGCCCTAATTTATATGGTGGTGAGTTCCTTTTTTTTTATCCCACTTTTGTATAGTATTTTGTATGATTTTTGTATGATTTTGTATTGGGTTGGAAGGAATGATGTTTCTTTCAAACACCCCTATGATTGTCACGTGACATGAGGAAAGTACTAAATTGCCTTTTTGTCTAACCATAATTAAATTACCATAAAAACTCCCCTTTCAAACACCTCCTATGATTGCCACGTGATATGAGGAAAGTATTAAATTGCCCTTTTGTCTAACCATAACTAAATTACTAAATTCTCCTTTGCACTTTACGTGACACGTTTTTTTTTTAATTTTTCTTTATGTTTCATTCAATTAGAGTGATTTTCTTTTCTTAATTATGGAGTCTAAATTGAATTAATCAATTAGATTTTTGTTACAAAGTATTAATTTTGTTTTAAGCGTATACCCTTCGGATGAAACTTATTACAAAGCTATTAAAAATCTCTAAAACTAAGTATTGATTTGGCACGACCAATGGAGAACATCAATAAACTAATATTTAAACTCATTAGGATGCTTTTATATTTTGTCTAATATTTACTTCAACACATATATTCGATTAAGTCTATTTATATTTAATAAGTAACACTTATAAAATATTTCTAAAACATACATGGGGAAATACAATTTTTTTTGTTAAATATAAATATTTCTATGATCACACTTATAAAACATTTCTAAATCCTTCAAACATTTCTAAAATATATCGCTCCAAATACAAAATTTTATTTTTTTTCAAATATAAACATTTCTAAGATCTACAAATAGACTGCGCCAGGGTCGCGCATTGCGCGACCAGACATCACTAGTATATATATACATATATTCACAATTAATGGAAATATAACATTAACACAATGAAGGCAAAACCTCACACTTTTTAGAGAGAGATACTTAACTGCCCTGCATTCGGGAAAAATGATTATTATCTCTTTCATGATCGCTAAATGAGACCTTCACAAAATATTAATCGGCGATATAGGGAAAATTTAAAGGGGAGGGTGCCCATCTCCCCTACATAGGAAAGAGGAAGCATACAAAAGAGTGAAAAAGTTTATTGGTGGAGGAAAAAAGAAAAAGAAGGGAGATGTTCAGTAACTTAAGATTCTGGATAAATAGACACGAAATCCTACACTGAAAGAAAGCAATGTGGAGCACTTAATCAAGTAGGAAGATAGACTTAAATTAAACCTAATTATGTTAACTTATAGGTCGGAATTTAGCTCCAACGAAGAAACAATTACTTCCTGGCTGTAGATTCGAGTCTATGCATGCCTCGTTTTGAAATTACATTATGTTTGTGATGGGTCACACCGTCACAGTACTTTAGGATTGATTATTTTGAACATTTCACCCGCGTGTTTGGAAAGACAATATATTTGGTCCAGATTTCTGATTTCCATTAACACGGTGCGATAATTGATATTTTTTATCTCTTTGGTTCTAAAAAGAATTGATAATTGAGATTCGTAGTTTTTTCCAAGTTAAGGAATTACATAGAATCATTAAGCCACCAATCAAACATCAAACCATAAATGACGATATATATATTCTGGTGGTCTAGTAGTTTAGCCCAAATTTATCTATCAATTCCCATTTTCCTTTTTATTATTATTATTATTATTATTATTATTATTATTATTCTTTTGTGTGTGTGTGTGGGTGGGTGGGTGGGGGAGATGAGAGGGGTGGTTGAATAATTAACAAACCCTAAGGGCGAAAAGTCAACAATTGATTTTGGTTAAAAACAAACAAAAGTAAATTTGCAACAAAAAACAGTCGCTTTCAGGATGAGCTGCCAGATGGGTTTATCGTGAAGATGCAAAAACCGTCGTTTTGTGCTTTAGCATTGAATCTCATCTTTGAGTGTGTAAATGCGATATTTCTACTTCGATTCATGCACGCGGACTTAAAATCAGCTCAATTAGCTCAAAAGTTCCTGTGTATCCATATCCATACCGCAGTCAGATCCACTAAAACGGTGGTAATCAATTCAAACTATATTCTTATGTTTTAATATGGTTGTTAGATCCTGCTTTTTCCTAACTTAAGTGCTAATTAATCCCAGCCACTGCTTAATAATTAATTATTTGAGACTACTACTAGATATATTGCATAATACTCCATCCATTCACAAATAGATGTCTCTGGAGAGATTATACAAAATTTAAAGAGACAATAATTATCTTGTTAAAATACTATAATACCCTCATTTATTCCTAATACAATTGTAGTCTCAATAACATTTAGTTCTAATACAATTCTACACTAAACATCATTACAGTTTTCAATATAAGGGTAGTATTGAAAAAATTTATAAAACATACTTTGATAATGACATGTTTGATTTATCTTCCAAACGACATGTATTTGTAAATGAAGAGAGTAATGAAAATGAATGCAAAATGTCTGTGATATGTGTGGGTTTCATTTATCTGTGCTACCGGATTTATCTTAATTTTTGTCTCTTTTAACATGAATGTTAATTATTTAATCATAAGAAACGTGTATATCATGTAGAGTAAATCAATTTTCGGTTTTTTTCTGATTGTCCTGATCACATCTAAATAATTGAGTGTGTGTGTGTGAGAGAGAGTGAGAGAGCTAAGAGGGTCCAGCGGGGTTTTTTCTTTTTGGTAACCACGGAAACATTCAACAGTCGATATACTTCCCATAGAAAAAGGTATCTGATGAATATTCCGTGGTCTTTACGACAAATTAATATATTTTCAAGGATTTCGTGAATTATTTGGAGCCCTAACAAACCGGCAGATCTTTAATTGACTTGAAAAAGAGGAAAAAGGGGAACAAAAGGAGGTGGGAAAAAAAAAAGAAAAAAAAAAGGGGAACAAAAGGAAAGAAAAAAAAGAGCAGAAAACAAAACAGATTTTTTCCCCTAGAGATTGAACAGTGATTGGAGTGGACCGCTGGACAAATTTTGGTAGGGGAAAAATAAGACAAAACAAATTTTAATGATAGCGGAGAAAAAAATATTCCTTAATAAAAATTAAAAATTTAATTCGAAAGAAAGCGGGGTACATGCACCAAAAACAAAATACAAATGTCCAAATTGCTAAAATTAAGAAAGAAGAAAAAAAAAACATCAATCTCGTACGGCCCCCTTATTAAAATGGTTCAAGAACCTAGCTAAAAATTTCCAACTTGCATCATCTTCAATACTAGACCACTGTACTTTGTCACAATTTGGAACTGGTTTTTTGCAATTTGTTAGCACTGTCAACCTTTCAAATGGTGTCACAAAGGCAAGTGGATCGATGATCGATCAAATATTCCACGTTATTCATTGAACTGAATGAAATTGTTTTAAAAAAAAAATTGAAAAAAGACAAAAATAAAAAAAGAAAGAAGAAAAAGAAGCAGCTGCGCAAGTTTGCAACTGGGATTTGTGATTCATGAGGGTTAGTGCCCACATTTTAGATATAGCTAGCCATGAAAGAAGACAACTCCTGGCTGTACGATAAAGTAACTACAATACAAAAAAACAAAAAAGGTCCGTGGGATTCATAACCCCAGGACAATGAACCCGTACTCATTGCTTCTATTATTCATAAAGCCGTAAAAACACTTTAAAGTTTTAGGAGCCAACCAAAATACATGCTCTATCATCACCATCTCAATTATATACAGAAAGGCAGTAACTTGCTAGTTGTCTACTTGTCTTTTTGGAGTACTAGCTAGCTACTTGTATTTGATCATTTCTAACTTCAGGATGAGCATTATGTTCAGTAGGGTTGCTTACCTCGTCAACATTGATGTGCTTGTCCTTTTCTTGTACTGCAACGGAAATCACGTATTAGATTCATAGCTAGAGATTCATAGATTCATGAGAGAGTAATTAATTTAGAGATCCAAAAGATGATGATGATAATATATACAGTACATAACATTGATCACTAACATAAGCTACAAACACATATCAGCGTATATGTTTCCATTAGTTACATAACATTTGCATTAATTAAGAAGGGAAGGAAAAAAAAAAAAAAAAAAACTCTGATGAACGAGAAGAACGTTACAGAAGAAGAAAAAAGATACTACTACTACTACTCGGTTTGGATAATTATATAGTACAAACGCCCTGCTGCAGGAAAATTAGCTTAATCTTTATTATTGAAACTAATTGCGGAACTGTCCTCCAATGTTGCTGAACGCCAGATCGTCCATGTAAATCCCGAAATCATCGAAATTAGTGCCAAAAGACTCCATTTCCAGGGGAGCCTGATGATGAAGCGGTGTGGATGGGCCGGAAGAATGGAAACTGGAAACCGCTTCTTGGTCCAGTTTCTGAAGCCCAGAGGTTTCACCACCCATGTCATGCTGCCACATGGAAGACTCCAAGCACTCGGTGACGCCACTGTGTGTCTCCTCCTTGAAGTCCTGGTTGACCGTTGTTGGGCTGATTGGCGGCGGAGGAGGAGGAGGATTGTTTCTGCTGAGTGTTTTTGTTTCAAAGCTGAGAAGATAGGAGCACTGATCCATGGGTTCGGGTTCGGATATGATCTGGGGAGTCCTCATCAGGGTGTTTTGGCATGTGTGGCGCCCGAAATAGGTGATTTGGTACTGTGGAGGATCGTCACTTATTTTCTGAACTTGCTTTGTTGCCTTACAGAGTTGGTCGGTCTTGTGGGTGCACCGGAAATAGCACCTGCCAAAAGCAAAAAGGAAAAATCAGTCACTACTACTTACTTTTTTTAGGTAAAAAAAAAAGAAAAAAAGAGAAAGAATATCATCTTGTCCTCATTAGTCGGTGAAAACCCGCACTGATAATATATGGAATATGATTTTGACACTTTAAGCTTCAAATCTAGTGCAGGTATTTACACTAACTAACTTGGAAAAGAAAAAGTTTATGAATTTTTCGAAAGGAAGTGATCATAAGTTACAGTATCAATGATGAAAATGGCTAAAAGAAAAAAAAAGGGTGGGAAGATGATTAATTAATTACCTTGGGAAATCTGTGTTGAGGATTTCCTTTTGTCCATATTTTCGCCATGCATATTCATCTTCAGCTGTTGGAGAGACAGCGACCCATGATTCTGCAGAGTTTCTGCAAATCGAAAACGGGTTATATATGTGATGATTACTGTATTAATGATATCTTACGTGCATGTAACTTTTTATAATTTACTACCAATCAAATTAAAGTAACGAATGATTTGAGTGGGAACTGGAAAGCAAAAATCGATAAGAACTACAACAAAAATTCACCCCATGATTATTTACTGATATTCTTAGTTAAGAGATCGATTAATTAGGGGAGGGGTAAATAATTAGGGAAGAGTCTTTTGCAGATGAAAGCGTGAAAAGCAAAAGTTGCACTTAGTTCTGCAAAATAATATAACGTGGTGGAGTTATTTACACTTGTCGGCAAAAATAACAATTACAAAATCAATTAATTCTTACTCATAAACACTTTTTTTTTTTTTTTATAGAAAAAAGAACCTTCAGATCCAATTGTTTCGTAGTGTAAGAAGTAAAAACCTGGAAAATATATATACCGTGAAAGCTAATTCAGTAGTCGTAAAGACAAACAAAGTCCCTTTCTCTGGTTTTCTTATTGCAACTAAATTTATTTAAACGATTTTCTCTGTTGTCATCGTTACTATCAATCTTGTTTTACATGATTTATTTTCTTTTTATTTTGGTAAACTTGTTTTACATGATTTCTAATATTCAAGTTATGAATCTCCCAAAATAAATTCAAGAGAATAATATAAGAAGCCAAATTGGCTGTTCCACAACAACATATCAACGAATCATGATAAATTAACTAACAAAGAAAAAAACAAAAAGGAAAAAGAAAAAGTATTGTAGATAATTAATGGGAAATGCATTATCGACTGTATATTATCGTACTTCTCACCTTCTCCTATAACATCCACGGCGATCTTTCACCCCAAGCCGCTTCTTGCTCTGGTCGGAACCTTTGGAGCTCCGGTCAACGGGGGAACCCCGTCTTGAACCGCCGGCGGAGATCCGGGTCGACATCTCGAAATCACGAGAGTTCAACATAGCCAGACTTTCACTAAAAGAACTCGCAATTTCCTCGAGTTCCTCAGCTACGAGGCCTGACCCGCGTCCGGAAGAGGGTTTGTGAAGTTGGGTCTGAAGTCGGAGCGTGGATTCTTTCCCTCTCTGTAGCTTTCCGATCAAAGCTTTCCGGACGGATTCATCAAGCACCGGCGGGTAGTCCATTTCTGGTTGTGGTGCTTATCCAAAATGGAAGGGAGAGAGTGAAGTTAAAAGTGAAGAGAAAACTGGGGGTTTGTGGGTCAAGAAGATTTGAGGGGAAATGGGGACAAAGGAAGGAGGGGAGAAATTGGGAAGAAATAAGGAAGGAAAGATAGATAGAAATTTAATGGAAATTTTTTTCAGAGCCTAGATTTATTTTAAATGGGCCATTATTGGGGTTAATAAAAAAAAAATACTGACGTTTTTGGGTTGATGTGTTACTCATACGTCATAAGGGTGACGTCTTGCTGCCATCTTACTTTTTTAACTTTCCCTTTATGCCCAACTAGGACATAAGCCTTTGAGTATATGCCTTTTAATTATCCCTTTCACACAGGGACACTACCGTAATTAAGCTTATTTTCATTTTTTTTATTATTGTTTCTCAAAAATGAGGTTTACATCCTTGCACAACACCAATATTAACACCTTGCACCACACGTTTCTTTTATTAACATTTGCCCCAGTATTTCTTTCTATTTACCTTTTGAATAAAGCACATAAAGTTCAACAAAAATGATTATTATCACCCTGATTGATTTTTGAATTCCCTTCTCCAAATTAACGTTGGAAGTAGTTAAGAACTATAAATATCTTGCCAATTTTCGAAACAACATATATATTTCAATGTGTGACAATTATGGAGAAATATTTTGATAAAATTAGCCTGACTGAATATTTGAAAACACTTATACAAAAGATTTAAAACTAATAAGTTCCCATGTGTAAATAATATCACAAACTTGATATTGTCGGAATCCCAATTAATAGTAGTTGGATTTATAAGCTAAGAACTTCATAATCGTATTTTTGCAGAATTATCATGCATCGTAATTATAATACTACTTCTGTTCCGAAACAATTGTCCACATTGAATTTTCAAATTTGTACTAAAAACAGTACAATACTCAAAACTTAATGTGAACTATTTTTGTGGAACGGACGCAGGGTTTAAGTAGGGATAAAAAAAAAAGTTCAAATGCCTTGTATTGAACCGGTTAGAAAGCAAATTCCATACCCTATTTCTAAGAAACAGCCTATGCCGCAACTTGGCATATCAACTTTAAGTCGAATCAAGGACTCTTTCTATATATACATAGGAAAGAGCAAATCATTGTGGAAAAAAGAGAAGCAATTAAGCACGTTAAGAAAAAGAAACTCAAACGACATGAAGCGACTTTGATTGAGGTGCTCATGCAACAATTTGCCTCCTTCGAATTTCTCTGTCTTTTCTAAATTTGGTTAGTTTTAGGGGATTCTAGCCTGCCTTTGATTAATTTAATTTGTCTGTCTTGATGAAGGAAGAAAGCATCAAAGAGGAGAGAAACTCATACTGCAAATTAACATTATATTTGCTACAACGTTCACCTTTCCTTCCGACATTATTAATCCTCTCCCAACTCAAGAATATATATATATATATATATATATATATATATTGGAGGCAAAAGAAGTACATTATTTACCTTACCTAAGTTTCCAGTTGAAACAATTCTATTAATGACTTTTAAGATCTACTCTTGGTGATATAACCCCACAGAACGGCATAACTTTTAAAACCATGTAATGTAGGCCATACACAAACTTATACCTCTAGAGCCAGTTGACGGTTTTTTAATCCTATTAGATAGGAATTACCTTAATGCATTTTAAAAGATATAAACTGTACGTAATAAAATTACAATTGATAATTACTACTAGCGACATTTACAATGATAGGTCAACTTAATGTACTATTAATTTGGAGAGGCTAATTAATTACGAAATCAATGGTTTAAACTTTGAACTAACCATTAAGGTTAATTTGCTAAGATCATGAAGTTTAATAGAATTATACCAAATGATCAGTAATTAGATCTCTTTATAGTATTTGCTAGTTGCTTCTTTGCAAGTGGTTGCAACTTACGATCAATGTCATTTCATTCATGAAGATAGTTACACCAAGCAATTGAGTTTCAACTTGGCAGCTTCATATATAGAATTGGAATTTTATTAATTTGATTTTTTTTTTTTTTTGATTGATATATAATGTAAGCATAGAAACGAATCAAACTATTGTCAGAACGTAAAGAGAAATGCCGACAATATCATATTCTAATTATAACTTAATATTATATAGTGTTAGCAGATATATATCTTGGATCATCTTGGCTTCATCTCGTTAGTCATGATATATAGTAACATGATTGCTCTTGGTTTATCGGATTTTGCAAAATTTATGATAAAGTCAGTTTCGCATGTATACAGTCTTATACTTTGTTAGTGAATCGCCGTGTAGAAGTATATAATAAAGCCACACCGCGTTGAGATTTAATTTCCACTAAATCGAAAGGAAATGATCAACCCAAGTACTTGGGATGAGCTATACCACAAACTAAAGGACAAGAGGCACCATCGAAGTACGTTATTTTTGTTTTTTAATGGTTTAAATAAAACTTTGGAGCTGATCGGAACCTGATAAGTTGGTGGACTGTCAAGAAAATAAAAATTACATGTTGGTATGCATGTTGGTCCTAGGCTCCTAGGTGTGTTTTGATCAATTAAATTAGTAAGGTTTGACTAAACCTGTTTTATTAAAACCAAATTGATAACCATATGCCATCATAGATGGTCCTCGCAATTACAGGAGAATGCATCAATGGCCAAATTGCCAATATTTTAAAAGTGCACAACTTGCTTACAGTCGATTCTCAAGGTAAAGGGATCTCTCAACTGATGCTTGATGTAAATCAATTTCCAAAATTCATGTTGGAGTTTGGTCGATAATGTCACACACACACACACACACACATATATATATATAATATATACACACACACACGTAGGAAAGGGTTTAATTTATATGATTACGATGCTGTCTGGATGTCAATTGTCATGTTCTTACATTCACGTCACAGAAACTTTAGACCCTGCAGGAACGGGGGAAAATTCGAAACTCGGACTTTCTGTAGAGATCTTTGAATTGCCAAATAAATCCTTGATGATATCAGACGAAAATTATGCTGTGCGTATTGACGCACTACTCATTTACATACGTAAGTGAGATAAATACATTGGTGCATTTCTTTTTTCTTATATGCCCCCAACTTTGTGTCCAATCAATGTGTCTGGAATGTGATTCTTCAAAGCTCATCTCTATCCATAATTACGTATATGAACCGTATATATTCCGGTGTATGTGTTACTATACACAAGTGAACTAGTGTAAAGTGTGCGTAATTTCTATACAAAACCAATCACTTATAAACTAGTCACTTATACATTTTTTCTTATTTTAAGTGTTTGGAAATTTCACTAGACTAACCTACAAATTACAGTGAAAGATAAATCAACATAAACAAATTTTTGTGTAACAAGTTCGAATGCAAGATAAGAATCAAAGTTATATTTACTCGGGTTAATCAGCTCTGATTTGGCAGCTCTTATACACACACACCTTACAATTACTAATATTTTCAATGAAAATGTCAATCTAATATAAATAGAGAAGTTAGTAATTTAAAATTACTCGTGAGTATTGCACTACTTCTTTTTGTGTATTGCACTACTTCATCCCCTAGTTGTTGTTCAGGCAAACTTCGACCTTTTGATTTTTGTATATAAAATTAAGACACAGGTTATTGAGAGTTTTTGCAACCCTTTTTTTCTCCCTATATATCTTCTCCTTTATTATATGGGCTAGCTAGTATATAATCATATTATATATGTACACAGCTAAAGATTGGTATATACTTAATTTCTTGTATATAATCCAAAAATAATTAGAATTGCAAACAACACCGTATAAGGTGACCAACGAATATTAAACGTACGGGGAGGAGAAAGGTGACAAACAAGTTCAACGTAACCTAGGATATTATAAGTAGGTACGACGTTCCCAACTTGTGCAGGTAACTTCCGAAGTGTGTACAGAATTTAGTAAACTTAATAATCTCTCATATTCACTCACTACGTGACATCGGGATAAACATGCTACAGAAACTGACACAGACTTCGCTTAACGAGTAAAACTCAAATTTCAGCTAAATCAATTTTTATCTTCACATTTTAACCCTGCATAGTTTGCTGACATCTACCAGCAATTCAGTATCACATCACATAGGTTAAATAGGGTAAAAATGAAAAACAGTACTTATTTGATTCCTACTTAGTTAACTAGTTCTTTTCCTCATGTATATCTCTGATATTGAATGATTTGCACAGTAATAATTTTCTTTTTATACATTTTACATGTGGTATTTACTATTAGTAATAGTATAAAAATATTTATACATACATACATATATATATATATATATATATATATATTCAATCTCCCAATTACGGTTTAAAGGTTTTCAAATTGCTAGCTAGCAAAAGTGGAGTGCCTATCTCAATGAGATTTTTTTTTCTGTTACTGAAATGGGGGAAATAATCTTTTGTACAAGCACATATTAGTATTTTGCACTAATTACGACCAAAGAATCAAAATATTATTCATACAAATTGTTATTTTGTTTGGATTTTCACTTTTAGTATATAAGTTGTACTAAAAATAAAAATTCAAATAAAACAATTATATAATTTAAGATGGAGAAGAATACTACTCCCTCCATTTTTATTATATGTCGTTTTAGGGTTTAGTAAATTTTTTTAAATATATGTCGTTTTGATTAATTGATATATATTTAACCACTTTTTTCCAATACTATCCCTGGAAATGAAACAGTATTGATAATGGATTTTTATTAGTTTGTGATGAATTCTATAGACCATAAATAAGAATATTGTTGTATTTTAACTATACTAATTAATATTTTCTTGGTTTTGATAAATTCTCTAAAAACAATTACAAAAAGAAATGGAGGGAGTACTATTTTTTAATCATCACAATTACGCAAGCCTGATCTGTCCCCTACTTAAATTGTTATTATTATTATTAATTAGTGTCTCAACTCTCAATATTCGTTTTAAGAGAGATTTGCCGGCCATGGTCGAGCTGGCCGCAGTTTGAATCTAGAATCAATACCAGGAATGATTGATGAGCTGATGATAGTGGTTTCCAATTACGGGTTATAAGATTAAATTAATTTCATATACTGTACTATATACGAAACCAGTAGATAAGATTCCAACTTCCTATTCAGTAAGTAGTATATTTT